TTATCCTAATTGGTGAAATGTAAAACTAAGTAATTACATGCAATTATTTAACCTAAGTCTTTGAAGAGATGTGAACAGAACTTTTTGGGGCTTTTTTTTCTTGCCATTCTGGCATGAAAGCCCGACTCGTGGCCCACGACTGAAAAGGTAAACGGACTGAGTTTATGCAGCTCTTTCCTGGTCGTACCGGCCACATTCACCCAGCTGCACGCACATATTTATATGCCGCTTCCCAGACTGGGAATTAGCGCATGAGGTCAAGTGCCTTGCCCATGAGCACATCGACATGTGACGGAAGAAAGCTGGACTCAAACCCACAAGCTTCGGGTTGCAAGACTTTTAGATTGTTTTTTTTATTTATCTCTTCTTACTTTTATTAACTTTTTTATTTTATAATTTTTTTCTCCGCTCATGGCTCATATTTTCGATAGTAGGCAGAGAGGAAGGAGGGCAAGGAGACGGGGGAAGACATGCGGCAAAGGTCGCTGGGACCGGGAGTCGAACCCACGACGTCCGCGTCGAGGACTGAGGCCTCCAAACGTGGGCTGTGCTAACCCCCTGGGCCACCACAGCACACCCTACTTTTTAATAATTATTTCATTCATTTATCACAAATACTTCTGATGTCTTCTGATTTTAATAGGCAATGAGTTCTTTGGTAGAAAATTGGACGAACAAGTTATATATAGAATATAATTTACTTTATTGATCAAAGGGAATCAATAAATGTAACATTTAACAAACAACTTATTTGTTAAATATTAGCAAATACAACTATAACTACTGTAACCAATATAAAATTTAATTTATTAATTCATTAACTCGATGTCTATAATATATTACCTTATCATCTCAGTGGTTCACATGATTTTTTTTCTTGCGTGAAACCTTGTCAGTTTTGTTCATTTTTCACTCGCTATGCTACCTGGCTTAAGAAGCGACGCGGCTTCATAAATCCAACAGGCAGCCAATCAGAAAGATGAGCATGGCGACTGACATTTCAATAAGTTACTTCAACTTGGGTTGTACTATTGTGATTGGAAAACAGATTGGATTGTCTTTAGAAAATGGAATTTAAATTTTTTAATAAAAAAAAAAAACATTTGTTCACATTTCTGAGGCTCCATCAGCGCTGTGAAGAGAAATATCCTTTCATTTTACTATTGTCTTCAGTCTATTACTATTACAGTCTATCAGTCTATTACAGTACTATTGTCTTCAATCTCTGGTGGAAATGACTTACTCCCCACCTTTACTGTCCTCACCCGTTCCACATCCGTCCCTGCGTCTGGCTCCTCCCCTCTTTTCCGTCTCGTTCTCCTTTTTTTCTCCTCTGCATGAGAATCGTAAGCCGAGGTCGCCGACCTGCTAAGCAGCAGCAGTGGTACGCCGTGACAGATGTTCGCCTAGTCTACTTTTGGGTCGACTTGCAGCAGGACGGAACACCGACAACAGGGCACTCAGACAGGGAAAGATGGATTAATGTTTTATGCCGCAGGATGCTGCTGTGATTCCCAGACTCAATTCTTCCAGAGGTCAAAGCTAGTTTAAGAAAGATTAAAGAAAAAAAAAACAATATCAAAACAGGGAGGTAGCGGCGAGTTTATTGAAAAGGTCGCTGTGTTTGAACAGGATTTTGTTGTACAGTTACTCCTGGCAGTCTGCCCGTTTCTTTTACACTCTTACACTGTTTCTTTTCGTTTGAGTTCCATTAAATCTGTTACAGGGGTTTTGGAGAGAGAGAGTCTATTTAACGTGGGAAAAGAATGACATGGACAAGAGACGCAAACAAAAGGCGATTTTAGACATAAAGTTTGAAGAAGTGTGTTGAATGAGCTAGTGGCTTGAAAGGGGAAGTTCATGGTACCTTCATCTTAAAAAACATTAAACCCCATGATAGTCCTGATTAAAAATATTTAAGATGTTTTCAATTAACGATTTGCTGATTAGTTGATCTATCTCTAAGCATTACCTTGTGCAAGTCTTCATACTTGATTTTTCTCTATGAAAGCTTGATTGCTATGTTGTGTTATCCTGGTTTACATCGATCAGTTGGCACATTAGCGAGGCTAACTCCATGGTCACTTGACGTTTTTATTGATTCTCCAACCTGACATGCTAAAACGTCTATTTAAACTGAACATTTCAGAATAAGTACAGTGACACATTTTTACAGTTTCTTAAAGAGGCAATATGTGACTTTTATAAACAGTATATATATATATATATATATATATATATTATATATATATATATATATATATATATATATATATATATATATATATATACTTGGCATATTTCTTAAAACTCTCACTATGTTGTCACAGTACAATATGAGACAGACTGTGAAAACATCAACTTCTTCTACTTCCTTTCTGTGGTCCTGTTGCCATCAACAGAAGTACACATCTTGTTCAGAAACAACCAATCAGAGCCAGAAGGAGGGTCTTAGTGATGTCAATCGATCTTGCGTATGTGCTGCTAAATGTGCCTATGGTGGAGGATTTCACTCTAGCCTATCTACTGTCTGCTAGTAACAAAAACGTTGAATAGGTCAAAGAAGTTATATTGTGAATAAAGTCATCTGGTTTCCATATAATCTTGTCACTAGCCGCATTTTCATTACAAATGTGCACAAAACCTTGTCCATACCATGCTAATGTTGAAAAAACACATTTGCAACTATTTTGCAACTGTGGTCTTTCTGTTAACTAAGACACACAATTAAAATCACATGTGAATAAATTTGTTCAGAAATTGGCATTACATTCTGTTCATCTGTAGGTTGCACCAGTGATTAGACTAGACCAAAATCTCTTGAGTGCTGTTTCTAAAACCTACTTGTTTCCAAGCCGTTAAGAATTAATGCAGTTAGAGACGTTGGATCCAACAGTTGCTGACAGTTCTGCCTGCAACAGCCTAGAAACAGGCTGCTGGCAGTCCTGTCAGTGCACCTGATTTTAACTGTAATGCCTCCGGGACGAGCCATTTAATATGAGTCTAATTTTATTAGCTGAGCGAAGAGGTGAGGGATGTGTGGGTTTTGTCTTTTTGTGCGCATGAAGCGCTCGCCAGGCATCAGTAAATACTGTTGCCGCCCACACTGCAGCCCTTATGTGTTACTCATGCTCTTTGACTCTTCTTCCAACATCCAGGGACCCTGTGCAGCCTGGAGACGTCTGGAATAATTTCCACTGGTTCAAACGTGTGGAGGAAAATCAGAGCAGACTTTTTTTACTACAATTTATTTCCTATCTGTCCATCCATCATCCAACTGTCCATCCATCAACCATCCATCCATTCATCCATCCATCTATCCATCCGTCCATCCATCATCCAACTGTCCATCCATCCATCCATCCATTCATCCATCAACCATCCATCCATCCACCCATCAACCATCCATCCATCCATCCATCAACCATCCATCCATCCATCCATCCATCCATTAACTATTCATCTATCCATCAACCATCCATCCATCCATCCATTCATACATCAACCATCCATCCATTCATCCATCAACCATCCATTCATCCATCCATCCATCAACCATCCATCCATCCATCCATCCATCCATCCATCAACCATCCATCCATCCATTAACTATTCATCCAACCATCCATCCATCCATCCATTAACTATTCATCCATCCATCAACCATCCATCCATCCATCCATTCATACATCAACCATCCATCCATTCATCCATCAACCATCCATTCATCCATCCATCCATCAACCATCCATCCATCCATCCATCCATCCATCCATCAACCATCCATCCATCCATTAACTATTCATCCATCCATCAACCATCCATCCATCCATTCATCCATCAACCATCCATTCATCCATCCATCAACCATCCATCCATCCATTAACTATTCATCCATCCATCAACCATCCATCAACCATCCATCCATCCATCCATCCATCCATCCATCCATCCATCCATCCATCCATCCATCCATCCATCCATCCATCCATCCATCCATCCATCCATCCATCCATCCATCCATCCATCTCCACTCTGGTTTTCACGCCTCATTTAAATCCTGTCCTGTTAGCAGTTAGCACTAAGCTCACAGAGAATTTATGGTGTTTGCACATCTATTGTTCTCAAGTAGAAAACTTGATGTGCATTTTGAGAAATTGTCACATGGAAAAGTGTAAAAGGTCAACATAAAAAAAAAACCTGAATAAGTTTCTGTTCTAACTCTTTTACAGATTCAACCAAAACAACTTGATATGGGTTCGTAAGATATCCCTCATTGCACTCTGATTAAAATGAACCCACAACTGCATTTGCAAGAAAATTGCATCTGAAATTTTCACTCCGTCATCATGAGAGAAAAAAACCAAAACAAAGACAGCAAAAAACAAAAAGGCATTATGTTTAGCGGTGTCGTTGCATAATTAAATCACTGAAATCGCATTTTGTCCGACAGGTTGTGCTGAGATAAGGATTAAGAGACGTGAACACAGCAGCGCTCGCGGCAGACAGCTGATTTTCCAAACTCAGCTGGCCGGATAAGTCCTGTCCAAATGTGATCAGAGGGCTTGTGCCTGACGTCAGTGGCTGCAGGATTATTTAATGTTTTGTGCCGGCTGGGCAGTGCTTCAACACTTGCTGACTTGCATAATATCGTGTGTCAGGGAGGATTGGGACATTTTCCTGTCATAAGGCTTGCTTTGATTTCATTACAGTAGAAAGAACGGCAGTGTTTTGATTCGTGACTGTGCTTTGATGGAACAGAAATACATATTTTCTTCCATCCTTAATATGCAAGAGTCTATTTTTAAACCCCCTGCGGTCTCAAGTGCTGGGTTTCATTTGACCCCACGAGTCAGGTAGCCGTGACCCCACGTACCCTTTTACCCCCGCCACTGTGTTAAGTTCACTGCGCTTGTTTACTCATTTATCACACAAATCTTTTCGTCTGTTCCCCACGTCTGCGAATCCTGACCTCCTGTTTTCCCACCTCTGCCCAGCAGGTGTGGAACAACGGCCTGGCTTCTGCGACAAGACAGCGTTGTCGTCAAGTGAAAGGACAACAAAAACTGTCCCGTTGCCATGGGGAAACAGAACAGCAAGCTGCGGCCCGAGATGCTGCAGGACCTCCGGGAGAACACGGAGTTCTCCGACCACGAGCTGCAGGAGTGGTACAAGGTACGCACGGCCACGGCACTGGGTCACCAGCTGGTAGCTGCTGCAGTTTTGGTTTAGTTTTCTGTTCTGTATTTAGATATTTTCCCTTTTTTCTAAGCAATCATAACCAGTTTTCATGTCCCCGCTGAAGAAATCATCACCCGCCATATTATGATGGTACCACCACCACGTGTACCATCTAAACCACAGTAGACATGTACAAACCTCCCATTTTCTACCTGAGAGTTTAAAATCATGGTGGAGATGTCTTGTAGAGTGAGTGCATTATGTACGTAAGCTTTAAGTCAGGGTAGTTGTCCTTAGGTTCAATTCCCCATCTTGGGACCTTTGTTACTTGTCTCCTCCCCTTCTATCTCTTTCCTGTTTGATTATTAGCAATAAAGACCACTAGTGCCACAATATCTTCAAATAATAGTAATTGCAAAGATGCTTGCAATGAAATTATGCATGATAGTGATGTTTGAAGTATCCTAGTCGTCTTGGAGACTTAAAAGTCTCTTTCACTGAACGTTTGAGTCTTAGCTCTGTTGTATTTGGAATTTCCGCATAGGGAAGCAGGTTTACCTAAACGGATTTTCCTTTTTGTTCTTGTCTTACTGTCACATTTACCTTCTTTTACAGCACTATTCAAGCAAAGCTGTGTTTTTGATGATGGCTCTTTAGATCCTGGTTTCTGTAGCGAACATGAGTTCCACACACGGTTTAAAACATGAGTTATACACCAGAAGACCTGCCGGTGTTTATGAACGCAGCCCCAAAATGCTGCTTATAGACTCAGCTTAAAATAGTGATTGTGAGTGCAGCTTCAAGCAGTGCTCTGACCTACATTTACCATGTAGCAGGATAAAAGAAGTTAGTCCAGCACTAAAGCTCTAAAGATGATTGTTTTGTTTTTTTTCTTTGAAATGCCTAAATTTTGTAAACCTAAAAGGTTTAAAAGTGACACTCCCAAAATTGGAAGCGGTTATTGGTCCCCTTATGCTCATGTCCAGCCCCTGATGAAAGTAGTTCTTTCTTTGAGCTGGAGTCTTTTCAGTGCTGGAACCCAAGTCTTTACTGGTGAAGAAGGGAAACAATCAGTTTTCACTAGTACTGCAACTGATTTGATGGAAAAGCCCAGTATTGCATTATTTTGTGATAAATACCCCCACTCTGTTCAAAACTCGTTAGTCACCCTCCAGAGCCTGGTTTCCGTTTTCTCTTTCCAGGATCTCCGGAGCGGGAGCGAGCGCTGCTCAAAACGAATGAATCAAGTTTGAATTAGACTCTAATTTCTGTCATCTAAAATCCAAAGCCACTATTCTTCTCTCACTTGGTCAGCTCTATTCATAGTGAGGAGGGTGGGGAAACAGTACAAATGATAAAGGCTTGGCAGGAAACCAAGTGATTTCGGTCTTTTAAAAAGTAAATTGTATGGAAAGTACAGAAACTGAACGGACCTGGTAACAAATTATACATGGTTGAAGAGGCAGTGAGTATGCTACAGGGAGTATGCCCGGATGGCCTTGTTTTTTCTGAAGAGCCATGTTTCATCAGCGATCTGGCAGCAGCCTTGACTTATTTGTCTCTGTCAGTGGCAGAGCAGCATCGTCTAGATTTACCCTTGGAATGACCAAGTCCAAGTCTAGCCAGGTTGATCGCATCAGTCATCTCCTTTTATCCACACATTAGATTTCCCTTTCAAACATTATTTCAGGGCCCCATCATATGATATACAAAAATATATCAACATTTGAATGTTATTAGATGGACGTCATCATCAAGTTATAGCAAAGTAGAAATCAGTTAAACGTCCTCAGAAGCCCCTTCTCCAGTGTCTAGTCTCAGTACAGCCAGGTCAGTTTTTGCCAAGTTGGCTAAAACCATTCGTAGGGTATATCTTACTATTTGCGCGTCAATATGGGCAGGTACATGGGTGGGAATGTGGGAACGTGAGCGCACAGGATTTCTGGTCCAATGGTCGTTTGCTTCATCTTGCCGATTCCAGTTGACGCTGTTTGGACTCTTCCATCATAATTGATGAAGAGGGCTCGGGTCTCGAGGTTTGCTCGTGGAATTATCGGTGTGTAGCTTCCTATATCACTAACTGCTATGGTCTCATTGCAGATTGAATATGGTGTTTGAGCTGTTGTTGTTGTTCGAGGAGTTTGCAAGTTATCACCTTCGCCCATCAATCGACCCTTCGCCAGTTAATGAATGCAGTTCGCTTCCAAACAAATCGGTCGCACGCAATACCCGGCTTGTACAAGCTCTGAGGTGGTTCCGACAGTTCGAGACGGAACCGTGCAGGATCCGCAATTGAATCTAGTAGAGACTGACTGGGGAAGAACTGGTTAAAGCCATGCCTGTAGAGAAGGGGCTATTGACACCTGCAGGATCATTAGATTGGTTTGTTTGTTTTGTCGTCTGAAAGGAGGTTATAATGGAGTAATCTTTAGTGTCGATGGGTGGGTAATGGTAACCTTGAGCAAAACTAACTTGCTCCTTTGGTATCATAGTGCTGGTTTGAATAGCTGTTAGCTAGCAGCTATTCTGATTATTTCTACCAGGTGAGCTCTAGAAGGTCCAGAAGTAAAAACAGCCATTTGGGTCATTTCTTGGGGGTTTCTTCAAACATTTAGTGGTCTGCTTTCAGAGTGAACTTGTCAGACTAAGGAATGTTGGCAGTTGTTTTGAAATTCTTGTAGACCTCTTGAAATCCCTTACAAGACTCATGAGCTGCTATAGTCATCTTTCTGCAGGCCTCAGACAGCTCTTTGGGTTTGAGTCCCTGTCCGTTGACCTTTGCCGCGCGTCTTCCCCTCTCTCACAACCTATTTTCCTGTCTGAGCACTACCTTAAGAAAATAATAATAAATAAAACCCTTGCTACTAAATACCACTCTGTCAAAAGATGTTAGAGAAACCAGCTTTTTTTTTACATTGGCCGCTTATTCAACAGGATGCTGAGGAACTCTTGACTTTTCTGAAACAGTGTCCAGGTCGTATTCTTTTGGAGGGGAAGCTCATGGGCTGTAAATCGGAGCCTGTGTCCGGATAGCCCGGGCAAACACTGGTGTTCTTTTACGACCCAAAAAAATTTCCTAGACACGGGGCAATAAAAAAGATGGATTAACTGCACTTCCACAGGAACTCTGAGCCTTCACGCGAAATCATTTCTGTTACGAAGTCCAGGACCTAATTCCTGGCTTCAAAATTGAGACGGGTTCGTCACCTCTTTGGTTCTACCTTCAAGGTCTGTTAAAAGAACATCTCTGACAAAACCTAAGACTGATGGGATTTTTACTTCCCTTTGCTTCCACAGCATAATCAGGCTTTATTAAATGTGTCTTCTTCTTTGAAAAAAGATAGAGCTTTTGCCCTCAGACAAAGCTTCTTTCCAACAGATCTACTGCAGTCCGATCACATTTCATAAAATTGTTACAGTTGTTTTGAGTTCTTGTTTAAACTTAGAATTTTATCTGTTAAAAGTACCAAAGTCAAAATAAATTGTTAATCTCTTTATTCCAGGGTTTCTTGAAGGATTGCCCCAGCGGAACATTGAATGTGGAGGAGTTCAAAAAGATCTATGCCAATTTCTTTCCCTACGGAGATGCCTCCAAGTTCGCCGAGCACGTCTTCCGGACTTTCGACACCAACGGCGACGGGACGATAGACTTCCGGGAATTCATCATCGCCTTGAGCGTCACGTCACGGGGAAGCTGGAGCAGAAGCTGAAATGGGCTTTCAGCATGTACGACCTGGATGGAAACGGATACATCAGCCGTGAGGAGATGCTGGAGATTGTTCAGGTGCGCAAAGTTTTGAACCAGGAGCGATTCATGCTTCATGCACTGAGCTGTCAGCTGTGGGATAGTCCCACAGTTGTGCCATCAGAAAATTTCAAGGCACTTTTTTTTCCTTAGTAATTATCAAACTTAAATAATTACTTTTTTAAAATTTTATTTTATTTTTTACTTTTTTACATTTGGTGTTCACTTTTGGTAAATAATATGAGCTTCCAAGCAAAGACCACTGTAATGTCTGAGATCCTGTTCACAAAACACTGATTATTTTTACAGATATTTTTTGCTATTTTCTGTCATTTTTCTCAAAATATGCATTTTGAAAAAAAACAATACAGTTGAAACCAGACATTTACAAAAAGATATAAGATTTTATCTATATATATTCAAAAACAAATTGTGGTGTTTTTTTTCTGTTTTGGGTCAAATTACAAAAATTATTTCTATCAGTCAGAATAATAACCAAGAGTTTTTTTCAAACATACTTCAACTCTGTAAGGTGGATCGAAACCCATTAGCTGTCATACGAAAACACTTAAATGATAGTTAAACACTTAAAACCTTTTGGGTCTCCTCCCACTAGCTTTTCATTTCCTGGAAGTTGCTGGAATTGTAGCATACTCTTCCAGATATCCATTTGTGTGTCCCTAATGGTGCCTATGTCCAGTGAACGTTTCCATTGCCGGCCAACACATAGACAGACAGGACAAACAACCATGCATGCATTTACTCACACCTCATACCTAGGGAGAATTTAGAGAGACTAATTAACCTGACAGTCATGTTTTTGGACTGTGGGAGGAAGACGGAATACCCGAAGAGAACCTAGGCATGCACAGGGAGAACATGCAAGTCCGCAGGTTGGGAATCAAACCCTTCTAGCTGGAAGGAAACAATGTTACCAACTGCACCACTGTGCAGCCCTCCTCTGGACTTAGTTGGTGAAGTCAAGTCATGTTTCCGGGGAACACCTTTTCAGTTCTGCTACCAAATGAGATTTGACATCTGTGCTTGGTGACCCCCTCTCCAAAACACTGACTTTATTGCTATTAATCCAGTGTCTCAATAATATCGCACTATGGTTTCACTTATTGTTCGTTGAGAACACCTATTTGTACCCAAGTTTTTACTTTCAGGTTGAAGCTTCGAAATCTTGCTTCAATATTTCCACGATACCAGCACCAGTCTCTCCTGCAGCTGAATACTAACCCAAAATGATGCTGTCACAGTTGGGGTGATCTTAGTTTTGCAAATCTTTGCAATAAATCCAGTTTTCTAACTGGTCGCGGTAGCTTTAATTTCTTTAAACCTTCATATTGAAGTACTTCATTGGAAAGGGGAAACAGAGTGCTTGTTACAGAAACCTTCAGGTAGACCATGAAGCACCATGGCTCCTCATTGAGGCAACGCGGTGAGGATCACTGCTGTGTGCAAGTCTGTGTGGCTGTTTTATGGTTCTCTTGGATTAGCAAGTTAAATTTAACCAGCGTTTATCCCCGAGTGTGCAGAATAGAGGGATTATCCCTGAGCTCATAGAGGTTATGTTATACATAGAGGAGAGAAGAGGGGCCATTGTGTAATTGTCTGCCAGCAGAAGGAGAAAATGCTCCCATAAATCTGTTTGACTGCTCATTATCGGGCTAACTTTACACATCCTAACCTGACAGTGTGGTCAACTGAAATATCCAAAGAAATATGAACTAAACAATATTACAATATTAAAGAAATGTTTTTGTTTTTTTCAAGACTCTTTTCTACACAAAAGCCAAGCAGTATTGTTACGACCATGACTGGATGCTTACAGTTTATTACTTGACAGCGTCAATCAGATCCTGATGGCGGGAAACTCATTTCTGACGACTCTGTCATGAGTCGTGGCAAGAATAAATCCCTGCTATAATCCCAAATTGTGAGACAGCGAGGAATTTATTAGGATAATTATTGGTCACATTTTGGGAGCAGTCCTGCCGTGATTGATTAGGGTTAGGGTTTAGGGTTTGGGTTAGTATTGTAGCCAAGACTACGTAACCTGAGAACAAGTGAAAATGAAGACCAGAATGTATCGAGACAGACCCTAAACCAAGAGCTGTATGGGCGGAGACCAAGTCGACACCAAGACTCACATTACATGACACAATAAAATATGAAATATGATCAAAATTATTCTCATTCATCTGACTCATCCCATAAAAACAACTAGATATTAAACACTCAGAGTCAAAATAGCCGCAGCCATTTTTGCTGTGTCGGGAGCTGGACACAGCTAACATGAGCTAATGTTGATGTAACTCATAATTATGCTTCATGTGGCCAGTCTCATCATTGTTTGTCATGAGAAAAAAATCAACTTAAGACCAAGTTGTCACCACATTCCTTGTCTCCTCAATCTCTCAAAGTTAACAACCCTTGATATGCTATATTAGGTGACGTTAGCTTGCGCACCAAGCTAGGTGTCAAGCAGCTGACAAGAAACAAAAACTAGTTCCATACAACATTCAGAATAGGCTGCATGCAAGTACCTAACTTAATCTGTTTAGCTGATACATTGACAAATTTCTTGGGTAAAGAATTTTAGCTGGTTACTAATATAGCTAATATAGCTAGCTTTGCTAACATTTAGACATTACTTACCTTTCTGGAGACAACGAAACTTTGACGTAGTCCCCAATGTTTCTGAATACTGCAGTATTTTGAAGTAGCTGCATGCTTTCTTCTCGATGTTGTTTTACAAATATATTCTTCATCATTTATGTAGCTGAATTGTGTTATACTGGAGGTGTGGCAGACATCTTCTCTCGCCCCCAGACAAACCACCAAACACTCTCTTTCGAGCAAAAGCTAATGGGAAAGCACCAAACCCATTGAATGTTGTGGTTGCGCAACATATTTATCAAAGTGCGGCAAATGCGGCAAACACCCTACATATTCCAGGCGCGGCGACATTTTTCACTTTTTCATTTTTCTCTTTGGAAATAAAAAAATATGTTTTCTTCCTCGCTGAAAACTCTGCGAGATGTGATCGACGGTCGGTTTCAAGCTCCCCACCCTCCCAGAGGTGGAGAATTAATGGCAACGTAAACTGATTTCTAAATGCTTTTGCGAGCCCGGCTCATACTCTGGGCTTTTATGCTTCCGTACCGTACAGAAGTTAATTTAATGCCAACAGGGGACGGGAAGGCGCTCGTATCGGTCAACAGATAAAGCTGTATCAGATCAATACTCTAGAGCTCTGCTGGTAACCCGCCCCCCAGCCATTTCACAGACGCAGACGTACTCTTCATACTCGCACATATGATTCATGTAATCCTCCTGGTATGATGGCACAAGCATTCTCCTGATTGCTGCCGAGGCCCCGGGAGTTACAAATGTTGTTGCAAGCGTGTAGCAGTCAGAGGAGGTTTATTAGCACCCAGAGATCCGCAGTGACCCTGTTTTTCATCTCTGTTGGGCCTCGGCTAAGTAATGGCTCCCCTGCTGGTTCCAATTCACTCCGTTTTCTCCTCTCTTGCCACCCGCCCGTCTTTCTTCTCCTCCACTCCCAGGCCATCTACAAGATGGTGTCATCCGTCATGAAGATGCCAGAGGACGAGTCCACGCCAGAGAAGAGGACGGATAAGATCTTCAGACAAATGGACCTCAATAACGACGGTGAGGCGGGGGGACGGGCACCGGGGCTGGACCCAGAGATGAATGATGAGGAAAGAGGGAGGTTTTTTTTTTCATTTGGTTTGTCAAATTAGCTCATTTCATTTAGAGCATGAACTTGTGCAGCAGCGTGGATTTTCGATTTTGGTCCACTATAATAAGCTAATTATTAGAACAGATAAAGACTCAGCAAATTAAGAGAAAAAGGTGAAAAACTTTTTTTTTTCACCTTTTAGCTTTTTATCAAAAAGGACAAGTTTATTTCAAAGAAGGTAAAACTCATATCAAACAAAAAAATAGAAGAATTTATTATGACCAAATATTTATTCTAGTCTTCTTTTTCCATCATAAACAGTGGACAGTACTGTGAGGTCCTCGGGTTATTGCAGATAGAAAAAAGGAGTAAGTTACCACCAACAAAATCTGACATTTCTTTCTTTAAAAAACCCCGTAGAGATCTGTGTCTGATTTTGAAAAGTCGCAATTTTGCTTGAAAAAAACGGGGAAATTTCCAAACTGGAAATCGTTGACATTTAAGATTCTGAAATTTCCACAAATTTTTTTCCTGACAAATTTTTGACTTTCCAAACTCAGAAATGTACCTGCAATGGAAAAATTACAGATGGAAAAACATTAACGAGGATTTTCTTTAGAAGTTAATGATCTGAGACATTTCTCACATTCTGCTTTTATACATAGTAGCTGCTGTACTGCCGGGAAATAAACTGTAAATCCTCTGCTGATTTTGTAAGTTTCCTCACTTTTGAAGCAAAGAGCAGTGTCTAATTTCCATGGTGGTTTCGACATAGTGAAAATAAAACAATCTTGCTTTTTTTGACTCTTGATTGGCTCTCAATCTGGGCCGTCTCCCATTCACTGGGATTCCTCCAACAGAGATCAGCAAACAGAAGGACACGCTGTGAACAGTGATGTCGGTTTTCAGCATCGTTTTAGAATTGTAGTCCGCCTGCGGTTTTTGCAAAGACATTGGATGGAGTGAACGAAGCCGTTCGGTCCGTTTTGGTCATGCGTCTGATTAGCTTCATGACATTAAACTGGCGTCTTACAGATGTCATGGACAAGCGTTAGCGATTGGGTTAAATTCAACCCTCAGCAGATCAGATCTTTTTTTTATTATTATTATTGTAAATTATACATAATAGCAGTATCAAGATCCTGGGAAAAGATGTCTTTCTGTTTCTCTTCTGTTTGCAGGCAAATTGTCCCTGGAGGAGTTCATCAAAGGTGCCAAAAGCGACCCCTCCATTGTCCGGCTACTTCAGTGCGACCCCAGCTCCGCCTCCCAGTTCTGAAGCCCCTCCCCCACATCCTGCTGCGAGCTTGTTTTTAACCCCACCGCCCTCTTCTCTATTTCTGTTGCTGAAATCAATGCATGACGATTCACATCTCTCATCTCTGTTTAATTCTTGTCCAGCGGAGAGGCTGAGGAGAGAGTAGGAATTTCATTTTGCTTTTGGATTTTTTTAGAGGGGTGGGGGTGAAGAGACATGCTTACACACGTAACGGTGTCGGGGTCCAGCTGGCGCCCGCCGGAGCCCCCGGCTGTCTGCATCCGGATCAGGATGAGAACGGAGGGAGAGAGAGAAAGAGAGAGAGAGGCTCTGGAGTTCACCTCCGATGCGCATGTATATTATCATGTACATAACTGTATGTCAATGTGTATCATAAGATGGATTCAGTTTGTCTTCACTCACTGTGTGGCACATACGACAAAAGGCAGTATTATGTAGCTTCCTGTTCCGATCTCAGTGGGAGTCGTTGGGATTTTATCGCTGTATGATCTTTCGCTGTGAAAAAGAAGGCCTAAGATCCCTTTTGATTTTGATCTTTTATTATTATTTTTTTTGTGAATGTCGACTGGTGTTTTTTTTAATTACTGTTTTACTTCCCACCCCCCTTTCATTTGTACATATGTTTTTCCTTTATTCATGTGGTTTTATTTATTCATTTTTACTCTCAATGTGCTTTTACTTTGACATGTTTGAGATGACTGTGTTCCAGTTTACAGCGGCTGAGAGGGTGATCGGCGAACAATTCTTTTTCTAAAATGGATTTTTGGTCAAAATGAAGGATATTAATTCCCAGTGAACTAAGAGGATCTCATGATGCATCCGATCAACAGCACCAGTAGCACATATCGTTGTTTTACCGCCATGTATTCACAGAGCACGGCTGTGCTGTCAATCTGAATGCGTGTGTGTGTGTGTGTGTGAATTCTGACTGTGTGCTTGAGGCTTACTTTTACAGTATTACCTTGTTGTGTTGTTTCTTATTAATACAGTATCTTGCAAGAAAAAAAATATTCGCACCCCTTTGAAGCTTTTCACATTTTCTCATGTTACAACCCCAAAAAAATGTCATGAATTTTGTTGGTGTTTTACGTGATGCACCAATCCATAATTTGGAGATGATTCAAAAAAATAAATAAATAAGCGTGACACTTATGTATAAGCTAAAAACGTATGTTTTTTTGTGGGGCTTCTCTAGTCTTGCTGGCTGGATTCCTCCAGAGTTACTTCTCTTGATCGATGCTCTTCTTTGAGCCGTCAGTTTCGGTGGATGGTGATGTGTCAGTAGAACTACGTGGCCTGGTACTCGAGCTGAGTGGGGAACATTTGTTCCATTTTCAGCTGGTTCTGTTTGCTTTCACACTGCACCGTCAAAGGAACCAGACGCTTTGAAAAACTTGTTCACCTCCTCGCCTGAGGTGGCGCTGCACGAAGAATCACTTGCGGAAACACACAAAAACTCGAGGTGAGCGATACTGCCTTTTTTAGCATTGTCAGACTTCTGATTGTAAGAACATTTTTGTAGTTTTTTATTTGAATTAGTTTCCTAAAGGCTGTGGCAGGATTTGGGCGAGTTTTTTTTTATTATTATTATTTGTACGAAACAAATGGCAAAAAACTGTCATTTGACAGCAAATTGAAACAAAACCTGATTTGAGGTAAAGTTGAGAAACTGCAATACTTGCCACGCTAGTATCAATGTGACACAGGTGTCAATATTATCAATATTTTTAATAAATTCCCCCCACCTAACAAAATCCTGCGAGCGCAACATTAGAGAATGTAAACAAAACTAGTGTAGCATCTGATTTAAGTGGTTGTAAAATTTCGCTTTGGTTGTTGGTAAAAGACCAGAGGCCATTTCTCCTGCTAACATTTGACTCTTGCGCTTGCTTAAGTTGTATTCACCCAGGATGCTACAATCTGCTTCCTGCTGTTGTAGTGGCCTCTGGTTTGCTTGCCGTTCACATATCCATTCGAACCGCACCAGAGTTCGCTTCAACCAAATCGATGTCCAGGTTTTTAGACGGAGCGGAGTTCGATTGCCCATTCACCCCGCCTGAATCAAACCAGACGATACAGGCAAAAGGCGTAGAGTTCGATTTAAACCGACGATAAGACGGTGACGATGGCAGGACAATGTCGCCGTCCGACGGTTTTCTCCCACAACGTTTCTCTTGATCTGTTGCGTAAAATCCCAATAAAGTACGTCGCACTTTGTGGTTGTAATGTGTCAAAATCTTTACAAGAAAAATTTTGATGAGGTACGAACAATTTTGCAAGTTACTGTAAGTATGTTAGAAATCTTTAATATTGAGCAGTAAACTTAAGATAGTTGTAACCTGTTACTATTAATGCATGATCCCACAAGCAAGACACGGGCGACTTTCACAACCACAGTTTTCGCAGAGCGATACCTTTTCGGAGCTCTGCAGCTCTCTCAAAAATGAGTAGGCTATTCCTCTGAGCCGGGCAGCAGCCCCCACTGCCCTCCGCTCCCTCCATCCAATTTGTGTTTTTCTCTTTTTTTCCTCTGGCAGACAGAGAACTCACTAAGGGCTTGTTCATCACTCTTATGCTGAGCGCTTTTCCGAGCGCCCAGATTGGTCTGCTTGCACGAAAAGGCTCGTTTCAGGAGGAAAAGGATGCTGTACGCTTGTCCTCGTCTGGGGATTTCAAGGGTGATTCAGTTTTCATTGGCACTTTGAAGTCCATGTTTAGGGCACCTTATTGGCAGCAAGAAAGAAAAAAAACACCTCAAAATGGGGGTTGTTAAACGTTTTCACAAGACATCGGTGCCAGAGCCACTCTGAAACGCCTCACATGTCCAGACTACTGTTGCCCTCTCAATGCAAAGAATGTATTTTATTCTGTCAAATCAATTTACCTTTAATGTTTTAGTTTTAGCCGATATCTAATTGATCGCCACCGCGTCCAACTACTCCGACACGGATCTAAACAAACATAAAGTCAGCTTGTACCAAATGTTTTGAACAGCAACTGCCTATCCAGCAGCATCTCTGCTTTGGGGATCCTTAAGTATCACTGCCTTCTGCTGGTAGGATAAGAAACAACAGTCAGAAATTCCTGACCCACTACAGTTCATTTCTTTTTTTTTTTTGAGTTTCTATTATCACTGCCTATCTTATAACAAACTGGTATCATGTCTTGAAGAAAATAAAATAAGCCCCTCCTCCTCTTTTATCCTTCCCTTATTCCTGCACTACTTTTCTGTTGCATGAAAACCTCGTATGAGGATGCAATGTTTGTTCTGTTGAACTTGGCATTAAAAGGATATCAAAACATAACCCGTGTGTTTTGAAGCAGCATGTGTCGACCGCGTCCTCTCTACCGCACGTCGTCGTCGTCGTCATTCCACGTTTCAAAAATTATTATAAGGGCTTCATTAAGACACACCAGACAGGTTTAACATAGCAACTGGCAGCTTCTTCTTCTTCTTTTTTTTACGCGTTTGGAGGCTAACCAGTCGTACCTGTCAGGTCACTGGCATACAGAGAAAACAATATTCACACTGTAAACACATGCGAGGTGTACCTGAATAGACAAAGATTTATTTAAATAAGAAATATACATCAAACACTTTCTGTATTGCCTGTAACAGAATTTGACTTTCACCGTAAAAATATTCAGTTACTTCAATCTCACGCAGTCGGTGAAAAACAAATTTTCCTAGCATTTAAAGGTTGAATGAACTCACAGATTAGGAATGTAGCGCTTCAATACTTGTTTGTAAACTCATATGTTGGGAGAGTGGGGGGTGAATAATTCATAATTTGGGAAAAATAAAAGCTGTTCACGTTACACTCGATAAGGCGGTAAAACAACAGGTGAGTTAGCCAAACAGGAGAACACCGCTAATTGAAACATTTATGCTTGTGGCAACAGTAGTAAAATTTTAGAAATCACTCAAATGTTCAAAAGTATCCAGTCAAGCTAAACCAAGTTGAGTCCAGCTCAGCTATCATACGTCAAGTATCAAAAATAAACACAATACGTCACTAGATAATGCTTCTGTGGCACCAACAAAAAAAAAAAGAAAAGAAAAAGAAACTTATAACTTGGCTGGTCGTAACACATGGACACACTCCACAAGTTAAAACAAAGTCATTTTACTCAAGGTGGTAAGAACAAAGACCAAGTTGTTTCTGGTAAAGACACTGACAAGAATTCAAGTACATAACTCTTGATAATTCGCCTTTTGTTCCTCCCACAGTACAATTTGACAACACTTCTCACATCACCACACAATAACTGTTGGACAGTTCTTGAAGCTCTGCGTGAACAAACAAGTTTGGGTTTTTGTGGAGCACTGTAAAGAACTTCCTTGCTAACCATGCTAACAACTAAATTTAGCACAGAGTGTTTATTTTCTAATAAAGCCTCCTTTCACTTAACTGCAGCCAAAAATGTGCTTACATTTACCATGGACACAAAGGAAGACTTTTGCCCTTTGAATTTGTGTTAAGATCGCCATTTGTAGAAATAATATGTAGCTCTTTTTATTAGAAATCTAGTCTGTGAAGATTTCGCAAAACATGACTAAGTTGGCCATTTATGCTTTGGGTTACACAACACTATCAATAAGCCCATACATGTTCTGCCTGTATGGGCCAGAAAATGTGGTCCACCTCCCCCAGGCTACAGTAACAAATTGACATTCTGTTCTTGGAGACACAGTTTGGGAGTTCTTGCAATTTGTCCTTGACATACAATGTGGTCTAAACTTGATTTTTATGTCGTCTCCAAACACTGTTGTGGGATTGCTCAGAAATCTGAAGTGGGTTATGACACAACATGTGGCCATGGGAGGGAACTTTGGAAAATTCCCCAAGAGTTTTCCACTTGAGTTCTTATGAAATATTAAATGTCTTCATCAGACAGAACCACCTTAAGGAAAATAACTAAATACTCTGTTTTTGTGGCATATGTACAGGAACTTACCCTGACTAGCTTTTGATGAATCAAGTCAAGCTAAGCATAGTTGAGTCCAGCTCAGCCATCATTTCTTAGCAGCATTTGGTACAACTTTGAATTAAGAAAAAATTATATATATATATATATATATATATATATATATATATATATATATATATATATATATATATATATATATATATATTTTTTTTTTTTTTTTTTTTTCCATGATGAAAACAAACATATTGCTGGTTCTGGTCTTCTTTCACAAAAGAACCAGCTTGCTAGCAGCTAAAGTTAGCATGGAGGCTATGCTATCTCTGAAAGGCAAACTTGGCAAACCTTATTTTTCAGCAAGGCATTTAATCTTTCAGTTCATAGCTGAAAATAAAACAGTTCTTCATGTCGTCAGGGATACTGGCACGTTCTCAATGTTCTAAGTATTAAGTGCAGTTTTCTCTAACATAATCCAAACATTACAAACAGAAAGATGAGCAATAACGCCCCATGTATGCTGCATCTTGTACAAATTTCTTGTTCTTCCCAAACTTTCTGAAAATGCACTATGAAAATAAAAAAAAGTCTCCTTTCAGTATACGGCTTTTGAAAGCCGATTTATCCCACAAGGGGAGTTCTGTCTGTGTGATGCTGGAGACTTGAATACTACTGCAGCAACAAGTAAAGTGTATTTAAAGACAATTTGGCCTCACAAACAACTATATCCAAAGACTTGATCTGTCGGACGTACTCCTCCTCAGGTTGTGCTCCCCCCGCCCTCTTTGTTGACTGCAGCTCCTCATGTCTTGGTGTTCTATGTCCGACCCGTCTCGGTGAGAATGCCGAAGAGGCTGCCTCTCTGAGGTGGGAAGACTTTGGTTGTGGGAAGGAAGGGCCCTTTGAGGAGTGTGACGCTCCAGTTTTGGAGGTGCAGTGGGATGCCTTAATGGTTTGTTGTTGCTTCTTGGGGGGTCTTTGTGATGTCTGGTTGGTTTACTGTGGTCTCCAGGAGGGTTGGTGTAGAGCTGTGAACGTTGCTCGTGGCGTCTTGGTTGGTCCGTGTGACGTCTAGGTGATGTATTATGGACTTTAGGAGGTTCGGTGTAGACTCGTAAAGTGTCGTGTTGCCTTCTTGGGGGCTCGGTGTAGTGAGGTTGAGAGGTTTCCTTTGCCGACTTTGCCACATTGATCTAAACAAACAAATGGTAGGACAGTAATTTTCAATACTGCCGACAGAAGGATGACATTAACTTTGATGTTCACGTATTTAAACGAGTATGGCTAAAGACTTACGGTTCTGGTATAGGTTTTTTTATGTCTCTTGCTTTTGGGGCAACCAGACAGCCCCAAGAAAGAAACACAGGCGGCAAGGCAGCGAGCAGAGAACACCATCTGAATGCTACACGATACAATCAGACCAACCCAGAGGATAATAGTGGTACTCTGGGGAGAAAATGGAAACACATTGGTTGGAAAAACACAATCTCGACCAAATCTAAGGCAAAAACAGGCGATGCTGTCCGAAAAATGAGGATGCTGCTTGGATAATGGCGTGAAACAATGTTATCATATTATTCAGAGCTAGATGCTGAGGGGAATAAAGAGCTTGGAAAGGCAAGTATGCATTGTGAATAAAAAATGTACTAGACAATGCATCTTCATAAAAGTAAAGCGAGGGAATTGAAAGCATAAAAGCAACCTTTTATTGTTAGGCTTGCTTTGTAAATGATAAAAAACATAAGAAGTTTATATCTCTGAGTCTGGAGGGTTTTATGAAAATCCATAATGAAATATACAGGAGTTGGAGAAAACCCTTACATGACTATCATATCTAACCCCTGACAATTGTGTGAATGAGAAACAAAAAGCCCAACACACACTTTGTGAGACACTATATGCTCTCTGGAAGACATATAGAGGATCCCTTGGTGATGGGTGGCAATCTGCGGACTCAGCAGACAACGGAAAGGTTAGTCAACTTTTAAGGCGGTTTACGTCACATTTTACACAGAGATATAAAAGAAAGAATCAATTAACATAGAAGAAATAAGGCATTATTTCAGGAAAGTCTTAGTTTTATGTTGAAATGCAGAGATGCAAATGCTGTAATAAATCTGAGCCATTACTACATGATTTCTCTCCAATCTTGGTTTGTAGTTTCATTTATGATACATGATGGAAAACACAAAGCCAAAAATAGAAATCACAAGAATTGGCTGTAATATTTTCTTATTTAAATCAAATTGTGTTGGTGTTTGCTGTTCCAGGCTAAACTAGCATGACATGTTCTAGACATGCTAGAACGTGTCAAGAGCGTGACCTCCATTTACCTCAGAGGTCAAAACTGGAATCCGGGACTGGAGTAACATCACACCCAACTTTATTTTCTGTGCAGTGCTGCAGCTTCCACAACCTTGTAGTTCTGACTTTGAGGTCAAGGATCACGAGAAGCCTCCATATTACCAAACTGTGATCCCAACTACTGGGGGCTTCCCACTTCATTTTGATTTTAGATTACCAATACAGTGCACCTTATGACTTTCAGTAGTAAGTTGGAAAGTTTGCTAGGTGTGATTTTCCCATTTCCGCAAATGTTTCTAACTAGATTAACCAGAGTTAGAAACGCAAACCAATAAAGTGTTTTTCCACTGATTATGCATGGCACTAATTTAATGAGATCATTAATGAGATTTAATAAGATCTCTAACGAGGCCATCTTGGGTTTTGAGGTCAGAGTTTGTGAGAACCTATAAAAAGGAGGAGTTGGTTGATTTGGTTTGGACTTGGAAGTCAGAGCAAACTGAATGTACTGTATGCAGCTAACATCAACATAGGTATTGTTTTGGTTTTAAGAAAATGATAAATAATAATAATACAATGAAATTAAGCTGTTTAATAAAGTACAGATTTTCGAAACCTCACTGGAAGTTTAAGAAAAGAAAGCAAAAATAATACTTTATTTGTGGCGGGGGTTTGTTGTAAAGACCTGCTTAATCATGTACATTTATTTTCTTTAAACACAGGATGTATGACGAGTCTGCATAGCTTAGCCATACAAAAAGCCCCGCCACATGTCTCATTGTAGGTTTATTACTTTGTTGACTTGGTGTGCCATTAATCCTCTTACGTTTTAATTAAAATGCCATGTCAGCAAACAAATGTCGTGTCCCATTAGTCTCACAGGAACAGGATTGGATTTGGGATCGATGCCATAACCAAATTGAGAGAATTAATAGTTAAGTTGAAAAACCAGAGAGATTTCCTCTTTGCTTCGGTGCCTGACTACAGGCAGCAACACAAGAAACGTGTTGTTAACACCAATTTGTACCATCCTGTGTGTGCAGACGGTTTAATGAGATGTAAACCGTCATAGATGATGACTATCTCAGCTTTACTGTGTTTTGGTCACAGTGTAGCCATTTTGAATGTAGGACTTAAAGGTGCTTAGTGACCTCAGAATTTAGTACAAAAAAAAAAACAACAAAAAAAACACCAGAAGTGTTAATGTGTTGTGAACTACATGCACCAAGTATGCAGAAATTTAGTTTGACATATCACTAGCTGTAGTGTCAACACTAAACCTTAATATTTTCTGTCGGAACTTAATCTTTTAACTAGGATTGCACAATCTATTTTCAACAACATTCTATCGGTTCATTTTTAACATGAATTTTGGACCAATGACAAAAATCAAGGCAATAGTGACATTTTTCCATCTTGTTGCTATTTATTTCTGGAAGACGTTGGTCATGTAATATTGGTTTGGTCATGTGACAATGATAATGATGCAACAAAGGATTGTGGGGAGTTTTAGTGAAACAGAGAAGCAGTGGTGAAGTTAATGGCGCCGTTGTTTTCTTCAAAATGTCTAGAGGTGGGGCTTGCCGTGGTGGCGCAGGGGGTTACCGCGCCCCACGTTTGGAGGCCTCAGTCCTTGACGCGGACGTCACGGGTTCGACTCTCGGTCCCGGCGATCTTTGCCACATGTCTTCCCCCTCTCCTTGCCCTCTTTCCTGTCTGCCTACTGTAAAAAATTCGAGCCACTAGCGCCGCAAAAACTCTTCGCAGAAAAAAATAAATAAATGTCTAGCGATAGTGAAATACATATTATTGGACAATATTTTTATATGGGTGCATCCCGACTTTAACCATATAAATAGTGACTTATCCAGGTGTATGTGGTATTGGCCTTTTAATATTCAATTGTCTTAAATTTGAATAGTAGCAGTATAGTCAAAATGCCATCCAAACCAACAATGCAGTGAATTGATCAATACCCATGTGTTCTGACAAAAAGTGTGTGAAAAATCTGAAACATAACATAGGCAAGACTTTAAAAAATTCAAAAAGAATAGAAAAGCAACACTGAGAATCATAATCAACTATTAAAAGTCATGTATCTTGCCAATAAACAGCAAATGAGATCAGGTACACAAAAAAATGCACAGGAAATGTAACTATTACAGGTTGATGTTTCTTTCTCCAATCTATGAAAACAAACTGCTGCTAGCTGAGCCTGGGAAGCTTTCATTGAATGCTCTGGAGAGTTAGATGGTCCAAAGTCAGTCAGAATTTAATTGTCTTTCAGCTCAAACTGCAGAGCAGCTTCTATTAGACTGGATAAGATTTAAGATACAACCCAGTTGAATTAGATAGCTTCTTCCCTTAATAAAAGGAAAATAAAACTTTAAACACTTCATTTTTCAATGTACTCTGGTTACATTTGTTTGATGATCTGAAACAATAATTAAAGGGAAAAAGAAAAATGTAAAGTTGAAAATACTTTTTTCACAGCATTATATAGTAGCTTAAAGTTAAAGCTCAAAGGTTTCAGCATAAAAAAAGGCAAACTAGGTCTGTGGAAGACATCTGTACACCACCTTACCTTTAAACTACCAGCAATACACTTTTACGCTATTGTTGAAGAGTCTATACTTAACCTCAACCTTGAAATTTATACTCTACCCGGTCGATGAATGCCAGTTCATCACTGTACAGTAAATACAGTGTTGACGTAAGTAAAGAATAGAATAGAATAGAATAGAATAGCATTTATTGTCATTGAACAGGATTCAACGAAATTTCTATTTCTATTGTTTTTCTGCAACTCAAAGCAGAAAAACACAATGGATTTAGGGATTGTACATCTGTCCGGTTTCTGGCTTTGAGCTATTAGCAGCTGAAATCCGACTGAGCCATGAAATCCTGCGCACGTCTACAGCTGCTCCGCCATTAACCACCAGCACCAAGAATAAATCCAGCTTAAGACAAAGGTCCCATAGTGAAAAAACAAAACAACTCAGCACCAGTGCTGTTGATGTGTGTCAGCAGCTATGAGGCTAAACGGGGTTGACAGTCCATCAGTAGCACACAGGAAAAAGGAAGCAGTCTGGAGAGCACTGACCGGGTCAGGTCAGCGTTTCTGCCACCAGTCCATTAGCTGCAAAGCATGACTGACTTCGTGACAGCTAGGAAAGACGTCAAACCTCCTACTCAATGGCCAGTGCACTCGCACAGAGAGAAGAGACTGAACATTTTACTAGACTGTATTACTAGTCTGGTAGATACTGTTAGGATTCAAGTTGGTGTGAGTGCTCCTCCAATAGACGATCTTCGTGGGAGCGTTCTGGCAGGCTGACGCACCTGAAGCGGACTTCTGCAACCAGCTGCAGGATTTTTAAGAAGCGGTGAAGCAGCCATTCATCGCTCGATGGTCCCACTTGTTGGTCAGAGTCAACCCCAAGGTTTTGTCAAGCTTCATGTTTAAAGGGACTAAGTCAATCTTTTGTTTTCTCACAGATTTTGATTCACTGTTTGGACCAAGCTAGGAACCACACCCACCCGAACACAAATCAACGATCGCCAACCGGACTGACAAAGTGTGAATCTATTAAGTCGGGAGGGTAATTACTTTTTCAGAAAAAGTAAGATAAGATTGGATAATTTTTCCCCTAAAATAAATAAAGTTATCGTTTGAAAACAGCATCCAATATACGCTGGTCTGATTTTAAGATGGGTTTGATAATCTGAAACACGTGTCTGAAAAGACTGAAATGCTTTTTCATTCCAGACACTGTACATTTCCACACCTTACATAAAGAAAAAGCTGTTTTATAAAAACAAAATAACAGATTTTAATATGGACTCTTTATGCAATAGACAAAGGTCACCTGACCAATGGCGCAGCAGCTGCTATAATCTCTTAAGTCTGACAGAGCAACACACTCACATAGACACGGGTGGGGTCAAAAGGACACTCGTTGGTAACGCTGGAGTAGCCGATGGCATCGGGAAAGCGGCAGTGAGTCAGGAGTACCCGCCCGCCGTTGATGATGGTCTTCACTAGAGACAAGAAGAGGCCAATGGTGGAACCTCCTGCCGTGAGCGACGAAACCAGACTGATGGAGAATAAGGACCACGTCTATGGAAGGAGAACAGAGGTTTAGCTCTGGTGTCCAACATTGGAACTCAGTGGGTTTATATAAAATAACACTAAAGACACAGTTGTAATCAGAACCGCCTGGTGTTCTAGCATACCAGAAATCTACCAGTCTGCTTTATCAAAACGACATGCCAAAGTTTGCGATGGGTATTACACTGAACCAGGATTCGCCTTTATAAAATATTTCAGAGCATCTCAATTAAACAAAATGATAAACTTCAAATTATTATTTTGTTTACAGAATGTTTGGTTGCCAGGGCTAACCAGACTGGGCTACTATGAAGAGACTATGTAGAGAAAATGCACCAACAGCAAGTCCTGTATCTAAACAATAACTGACATATGCTAAATAAAACCCCCGATTCAAAGTAAACCTTTGAAAGTACGTTATATTGACAAAAAATAAATATTTTGAAGATTACCGCTTTGCACATCATGCTAGAGGTTCGCTAGCTTGAGGCAAACAGCTAGCTTCACTAGCTGTTTTTATGATCATCCCTCCTGTCAGTGATTTAAAGCAGTTTATTCTTCAGCATATCTATGATTACAGGTTTTGTGTGTGCTCTACATTTTGATAAAGTATAGCCTGCAGACCTCTGGTGTGCTACTCTGACAAGGAATAACAAAACGACAGAACATCCCCTTATTCTGATATCTGAAGGTCCTCTAAATGCTTATCTGGAGTCTGTGTTTGATATGCAATCTCAGGATAAATCCAGTTGTAGTGTGAACATGACGCAAGTTTGTTAGAATATTCAAGAACAAACATCAACTTGAAGACTAAAGAACACAGCGCATAGATCGGGGAGAAAGTTGCCTAGATTGAAAGCAGGGTTGGGTCAAAAAACATCATCTCAGCCCTTGAATGACTCAAACATCATGAAGGTTTGTATTGGTTGAAACAAGTTAAATCGAATAAATCAAACCCAATGAGTCAGTTTCTTCTTCCACTTCACACATATGCACAACCTTGTGTTGGTCTGCAACGCAACATCCCAATAAAATACATGGGAACATGTGGGTGTAGCAGAACAAAATGTGGAAAAGTTCAAGTACTAGTATTTTTTTTACAACAAGCTGCATCGGGTTACAGAAAACCTGTCGATATGTCATGGAAATTAAAATGGGTGCGTTATTGACGGCTCGTCAATGCTGAATCGCTGTTGTGACTCTCTGAAGGCCGACTGAAACTGTGCTATCATCATCCGTCATCTTTTGTTCCCAGAGACAGTGTCATGTCATTACTAATCAGCATAAACCAGACATGCAGTACGATTAAAACAGTAGGTGGAAGAGCAAGGCACCAGTCAGAGCTTGGAAGGATAGTTTGGACCTTTGTTAAATAGAAATAGAAATCAAGTAGAACTAGACAGATGCACATAACCACCGTCATACTGAAAATTTCTAAAGGAAAATGTTTGGCCTTTGGCTGCCAGGACGTTGGTTTTCTGAACCAAGTGCGATGTTTTCAAGCGAATTTCTAGTTAAAGTTCTAAATTAGAAATGTTGGACAAGTTTTTATTTCATCGCCAAGATGTTTTAAAAAAAAACAATGAATTACAGAACAGCTGTTTATACTCGTAGAGAAAAAGAACACTGGTTACAAAAAAAAACAACAAATAAAGACGCACATACACAACAATGCAGTGATGAGCAATGTTGAGAAGAAGCAAACAGCAATTGACTGTAGCAGCATTTTTCTCAATGTCAGAGCCAAACAAACAGTGGATATTCAACCATCACGTGTAGCATTAACTCAAAGTGACCTTTGGGGTCAATTGACATGTTGAATAGTGAGTGGTTGAATGTGTTAAGAAAGCAGACTTTTCAGTCTGATGACAGTTGTTCAGGTATAGCAAACCCATAAAAGGAGGCCTTAGTCTTCGGCATGGCTGTCGCAGGTTCGATTCCCGGTCTGGTGACCTTTGCCACACATCTTCCCTCTCTTTCTCTCTTCACCTACTTTTCTTGTCTTAGTACTTTCAAATAATGGCCACAAGAGCAAAAAAAAAAAAAAACACCTAAAAAGAAAAAAAAAGATAAATTGTGGCTCTTTGTTTGTACTGCCTTTAAAACGTGAGTGATAGATTTCTTTTTTTTAAGATCCCTCCTTTATAAAAAACATTCTTCATGCAACATTGAAGAGTTCGAGGGTTTTAATATTGACTATAAGAATAAATGACACAGCCTAGGTGAGCTCATACTCTAATAGAGAGAAAAAAAGAAGCCATTAGCTCTTTAAAAATGACTGAGATGACTCACCAGTCACATCAAAGGTTAACAACAGATCAGATGATTTATAGTGAAGCAAGCAACCACAGCGCTGTAAGAGGAGCGCTTTCATTCAGCTTAATGACTACTTGACACAAGACGGTTGAGGAGCCAAACGGCTGGATGCTGACCCATCCCCTCTCTTCACGCGGGCTCTCGCCAGCAAAAGAAAACAGGGAGTGGTTTAATCACGCTGAAGCCGACTCTGTTCAGCCAGCTGGCTCGTCAGTCTTGTTTGAGCTGCCGGACAGCTGACTGAGTAAACGGAGCAAAAAGCACTGCCTACACAGAGAGAGAGATGGGATGGGAAAAAAACACTCTTCCAGCTCTGCAGGGCCAGTCTGAAACAACTTGTTTTAAATTATAAGTCATAAAGGGAGGAAAGCTGAGAAAACAAAGCGGTGCTATGAAATATCAATTTGTGCATGCACACAGCAGGACAAGAGCACTCTATGAGATTAAATTTTTCATAAAAGGTAAATCAGAGCAGAAAGCAGGAGAGAAGACATGAAAACAGCAGGGAGGGTGAAAGCGTACCTGCAGAATCAAATAAAAGCTGAGGGAATACTAACCAGGCGTTTGCTCTTCTTGTTTTTCGACAGGATAATAGCTAGGATCCCAACGATGACACCCTGCAGGAAACAGACTGATGAGATTAAAAGAAAATGACCAAGAGCGCGTGTCTGCCAAAGACAAGTGATGGATTTGTCACATTTAACAAAAGTGATGCAAATGTACCCCAAAATTTAATTTCACAAGCTCCAGCTCTCATTCAGGTTCATCAAAATTCACAGAAGGATGACTGCCATTGGAGTTTTCAATTGAGGCAGTTTTAAATGCCAGAAGATAAGAACAACAAAAGCAACAACATCATCAGGCTCAGTCATGTTCGAAAGTTCTTCAAATGAAGAGTTTTTGCAGGCGTCACTAACTAGCTGCCATTAGACCCCTGCTAAATTTGAGTTAGCATTGCCATCAATGACGGCAGAAAAAAAAACATTTTTCTGGACAGCAAGTTTAGCCTATTTAGCAGCAGTACACAAGGATGACTGACAGCGTTAAGACCCTCCTCCCGACTCTGATTGGTTGTTTTTGACCTAGAGCAGTGAATTTCTTAAACTGGCAACAGAAACTCAGGAAAGAGGCGGAGGAGCTTAATTCTTTTCACATGGTAACAGTTTTGACAAACATGGAAAAACAGATTTTTGTAAAAGTTACATACAGCTGCTCTAACAGGTTTAAGATGGTTTTTCTTCACACTTCACTTGTAGACTTTCAACTTGTGTATTAGAACAAGTTTGTAAGAATAAAAAACATTAATTTGTCTATATTGTCATTACAATAAAGCATGTATCCTTGCAAGACTTTGTGGGGGAGGGGGGGTGTATAAAAAAATTATTCCCAACGTGTTGAAGACCATAACGGCAAATAAGGAAAAAAGCAAAAAATTCTGGTTCAGAAAATTTGAGCCTAATTACATTTATTAACCAACAAATGAAAAGAAGAAGAAAAAAAACAAAAAAAATGGAAAAAGTAATAATTCACTGCTTCTCCGCAGAGTCCGCCCAGCACTCACCAACATGCCGGAGAAGAGCGTGACCACGTTGGAGATGGCGTAGCCCATGCCTCGCGCCTTCTCGTGCAGGTTGATGTGCCGGAGCACGATGCCGTGCACCAGCGCCCCCAGCAGGAAGTTGACGTGACCGACGAGGATCACGCTCAGACCCATCTTCATCAGGCCCAGCGGCTCCTCCAGGTCGTCGCAACACATGCCTGGACGTGGAGAGCTCGGGGTTACACACCAAGTGACAGAAATCCCCGATAACGTCACGTCAGGCATAGACCTTGTGATATCGAGCAGCAGAGGGTCAAACGCACCGCGGATGTCACCTGTGTTAATGATTGGCTGCAGAGCACATAACTGCAGTACAGCTAGTGCACACAGAGACAGACCCAAACCAGACCACAGAACGCTCTGATGAGCTTTCCAAAAGGAACGCGTTTTGGTTTGTTCCATGGCAAACTGGTGCACATTGGTGAAAGCGTCTTATCAAGGATATTCATTTGAAAATTTTATGTTCAGTCATGGTTAATGGTTTTGGCATGAAATTCTACTTAAATATGTTGATATGCATTTGACCGAAGGGGTTGGTTCAGCCTATTTTTAGACTCTTTCATCATCTTTGGTGCCAAGCGGACTGGTGAGGACGATGTCCTTTGGGTTGAATTATGAATGAATATATCAGCTTAGTTTAAAAAAAAAGAAAAAGAAAAAAAGATTTAAATTCATACTCTAGTTACAGATGAGTTTAAATTCAACTCATCTGTAACAAGATGAGTTTAAGCTCATCGAGTTACAGCACCAATAGTAAAGTCAAACTTGTCGGCAAGCTGAAGATTCAGTTTTCTACTAACAACAAACATAATTTCTTACAATATATTGAAGGTGTTTTGTTTAGTATCAAAGATTTCCAAATGTTTCTGATCAATCTTGCTAAGTTTCATATTCACACCAGTAAAACAATGTATAACAAACTGCATTTTTTTTTGCTCTGTTCGTAATGAACGTAAAAACTGCACTCATACAATCCCAGATGCAAACGACAAAAAGATTAGAAAAGCAACAGGTATTTGTAATGCATCTAACTGATTTATGTAACTCGCATTTTTTTTTTATTCTGTTTTTGTTCTGTAATGTCATTTGTTTAGTTTAGGTTCTGTGTTTTGTTTTGGGGGGTTTCCCACCCCCCCTTCTTTATGTCCCTCATATGAAATATATTTTTCAGAACTGCTACACCACTTTTAAGAGAACTTCTAAATAAAGTTGGAAAAAAATACAATTATTTGAAGTTATAATATTTTTCTGCCAGTAGGATTATCTAAATTCTCCTCAGATATATTAATATTGTTTGAAGTGCTCAGATGACGTGTTTGCACATTGATAAACCCGTCTTACTGGTTATATTTCTTTGGTTTGTACCCAAACCAAAACGAGTCTGATTTAATCCTGTAGCCTGGTCACTTTTCCCATCTTTACATGTGAGGAATTCCACACTGACATTCCGTACCGACATAAGACACCTCATGTCCCAAAGGCACCAGAGCAGTCCAACAGGATATTTAACTAATAAGTCTGCAGATTCCGAACAAACTTGTCATCAAAGTCAGAGTTTGACACGAAGGCTAACAGCGCGGAGGCAAAAATGGTTCAAACAGCCGTAAAAATGCGTCAGTTATTATTATTACCGTTAAGATGGATTTTTAAAGAGGTTTATCGAAGATATAAACACCTTGTGCCAAGCCCAACACTTAAACACGGTGGAAAATGCTCCACGTGCGGTGAAGGCGGACAGGTGAGGCTGTCGTTACCTGCGAACCTCATCTCTGTCAGGTCATCATGCGTCGCGTGCGACGGCGGGTCCCGTGTGGGTCAGGTCTCCGCGCGTGCTTCCCGCTCCCTCTCTCAGGCCTGTTCAGAGCCGACCGTGACACCTGGGAGTCTCTGGCTTTTCAAAATAAGAGACACGCCCGTGGGAGCGCTGAGGCTTTCTCACTCCACGAGAGACGGGAGTTCCGTTGTTGTTGTTGTTGTGGGAGCTGGAGGGAAGCGGGGACGGCGTTTCGTTTCAAGGCGCGTTCAGTGACTGAGCCTGTTTTGCGAAACGCCTCTCTCTTATTTTGAAAGTCCGTGCACTAATTAGCGGTCCTCTGTGACAGCGTTTGGTGCGGCTTTTGCCACCGTTGTTCTTGCACACAAAAGTGAACTGTATGCAGCTGCTAAGATAATTGCTGTTGGGGTTTAAGTAAATTAAACAAGTTACACGCATTTCATTATGGCCGATTTTAACAAAAGGAAATTCTGCAGGATTAATAGCAGTACTAAATAAATGTATTTGATCAACAAAAGTAGTTTAAATCTGGTAATTTCACACATTTTTGTCTCTTTAAAACTTCCTGCTCTTTCTGAAACCCCGGCTTCGGGAAGTCATCACAACGTGGCTTTCAATTTACCATTTAACAATATTTTTACCAGGGTGGCAATTAGGAGTTCCACCATCTGCTAATTGCCACTGGCTAGTCTGAAGGAGCTGAGTCGGGGGAGAATGAGGCAAAACATTACACAAGGTCATAATTAACCCTTTTTTGCCTATATTTGATGGAAATTAGTACTCTTAGATGCCCTCCAAACTGAGACCTGTTAAAGCCTGGGTGGAGTCCTCTCACTGTAAATAACAGTCTAGTTTCTAAAAGAAAATCAACTTCTCCGAAATGGAACGCAAAACCTAATTTACCCTGTAAATCCAGGGCAACTGGAATAAATGCTTTGAAATATGTGTAGGAAGATTACACTATGGTTGATCCCTCTCAGGGATCAAATATTTATGACATTTCTGCCACCAAGTGGAGAAATGATGCTATCAGAGAAAGACTGAAGTAGATCATTCGTGTCAAAAAAATGTATATGTTGTCTTAAGCGCCTTTGTCTTCATCTTGCATAATCATGCAGCTGGTTAGGTTCAAGTGACACTTTTTCTAGCCTTTTTTCTGTGACTCATAGAGATGTTTATGTGTTCGAAACCTTGCTCTGATGTGAAAGATAACTCGCAGCCATAAAAAATGAGTCATTTTCTAGACCATTTGTTCCAGACATTAGCTTTTTTTTTTTTTTTTTTTTTTTTTTGCTACCATGAAAGCTGACAAATAAAAATATAGAAATAAAAAGCTGCGTATGGGGCGTACAAACTAAATTTTGTTTGTCCTGGGAGATAAATGTTAACTGCAACTTTAGATGTTAGGAATTCATGCAGCATCTATGGGGTGGCAGCAGGCCTTCGGTCACCATGGTAACCGACTGTCGTATTAATTAGTTGGTAGTGGAAGTCTAATGGTAAAAAAAAAAGAGACACACCAGTTTTTGTCTCTCTATCTGAAAGGGAATTAGACCAAACGTCTCTTGTTTTGGGTTAGTTAGAGTTACAAAATGATTTCTATTTGCTAAATGTCAATAATAAGAAGAGAAAGAATCTTCCATTTTTTGCGTTATCCGTTTTTTTTGGCATGAGTTTACTCATAAACTTACTCGTACTGTTGTAAGTTGTTTTACTGCAAAAAGCTTGTGAATATGTTCCGTTGCGAACTACATTTATGCTTCTTGTTAATAGATCAAATTTGCCACAGTCAGTCAGCAGCTCACAGCAGACGATGCAAACGTTGCAAATATTTTCTGAAATAAGTGAATGCTTTGTTGAGCAAACATAGTTTTGGGCTTTGGAAAATATGTTATTCAGAAAAATTTTTCTTATGACAGTAAATGAAATTATTTTGCATCTCTAATTTGCTACCTTCGTGTTCGTGCACTACGATAAAGGCCTCTAATGAACAATTGCTTGTAACAAAACCATGTGATTGTTTTAAGTTTGGAGTCATCGTTCTGTATGTACGCATGTACACAACAATAACTCATGCAGCATACACCATAGCAAAGAAAAGAACATGTCTGCGACTCATTTATTAAATTATCCCCATTTTCAGGACTTTTACATTTGGAGGCATTGCCAGGATTTGAACCCAGGATCTCCTGTTTACCAGACTATGGTGGTGGCAACATCATGTTTTGCTGCACATGGGTCTTCTAAGTGGACAATAATACTAACTATAGACAAAATTAAACTTAGCTTACAGAAACTTTGGATAATTTGATTTCATTTTAATATTTATATAAAATATGGCTGGAACTCAGAATTCATTTTCATTCATTTTAAAAAATACACAAGGTGCAGAATTATAGAACTGTCAAAGGTCACCATAGCATGAACAGTCCTATGATGTCACAAGACACCTTGTGATGTCGCCACAGAACTTCACTTAAGTCCAGTCGATTTGTTCTTTTGCTTGTCAGAAAGCACAAGGTCGAGTGGAGACTGCTTCTACAGAAAACACTTTGGATCATTTTCAGCAGATTTTGAAAACTATCTTTGAGAGAAATGGAGACTCAGACGAAGGAATTCTTCAAAGAGGATAAAATAAAATCCCTCCAACAACAACTAACATTGTCCCAAGAAAAGGAGGCACTTTTACAGCGAGAGATGGAAGAAAGCAAGGCCTTATACCAAGAAGTCCTTGAAAAGCTTCAAGTGGACGTGATTAATCTAACAGAACAAATGGAAACGTTGCAAGAAGAGTTGGAAATGGAAAGAACAGCAAACTCACAAAGAAATATGAGCAGCAACTTTTTAAGATCCTGAAAGGTGACAACACGGCTCAGAATACAGACATGAAGAAGGAAATGGCTCTGCTGAGAAAGACGTCTGCAGAGAAGGAGAGGCAGCTGCAGGAAGAACTGAAGGAGGTGAAAGAGTCGTACAAGGAACTGGACAGCAATTACCAAACTTCTGTTAAAGTCCTGGAACATCAAATAGAGACACTGAAGAAGAAGTTCAGTGACAATGAAGAAGCTCACGCTGAAGTGTTGAAGATGAACAAGACACTTTATGCAGACTTAGAAGCTGAGAATGAGGCTCTTCATCATCTACTGTCTTCTCTACAAGACGCCTCCAGAGAGAGAGAGACATGTCTCCAGAGAGAGCTGGACAAAGCCAAAGAGGAAAACATGGAAATGACCAAAAGATATGAGGCAGATGTTTTAACCCTCCAGAAACAAGTTTGTTCACTGGAGCAGCAGCTGAGAGACGACAAGGAATGTCATGTGGAGATGGCAAAGATGAACAGAATGCTTTACGCAGAGCTACAAGCTGAGAACGAAGCTCTTTGTCAGAAAATGGCTTTGATTCAAGACACTTGCAGAGAAACGGAGAAATGCATGCAGAAAGAGCTGGACCAAGTGAAAGACGCAAGTCTAGAAATGGTCCAGAAATATGAAAGTGACATTTTAGCTCTCAGAGAAGACATTCAAGCAATGGAGAAGGAACAGAAAGATGAACAATATCGCCATGCTGAGATTGAGATACGGAATGGAAAGAGGGCCAAATTTCTTCATGCTGAAAAGAACATGCTGCAGAAGGAACTGGACGAAGCGAACCGGAAAATCTTTTTAAATGAAGCAAAATATAAAGAAGAGCTGGATGAAAAGACAGCTGAATTGAACGGCAGTTGAAGACAATTACAAGCTGAAAGAAGAGCTGAAACAGAGGGATGAGGAGATTGCTGAAGCAAAGGCTCCTCTCCCAGGAAAGAAGCCGTTTCTTAAAAAGCTTCGGCACGCTGTGGGATTGAGGAAACCAGAAAGATGGAAAAGAAGGGAGGCTGCAGAAAATGAGTAGCACTTATTTATATTAGGGACCAAAATTATAAAAATTTTCACAATAATGGATGGAGGAAGATTGTAATACATTAGCAAGGACCAGATCACAATAGAAGTTTAAAGATTTATTGAAGAAGAGATGAAGGAATGAGGGGATGAAGGTGAAGACTCAGTGTACATCCTGGACAGGTCGCCAGTCCATCACAGAGACAAACAATCATATACACACAGGAAAATTAGAGGTGTGGTTTGGACCCTGAACTTAAGTTAACATATTGACTTCATTTCACCAGCACAGACCACACCACAAAAATATAAGTTCAAAGATTTGGAAAAGAAGGCATGATGCACAGTGGCGCAGTTGGTAGGACTGTTGTTGGTAATATGGAGTTTGCATGTTCTCCCTGTGCAGGTGTGGGTTCTCTCCGGGTGCTCCGGCTTCCTCCCACAGTCCAAAAGCATGAGGTATGTTCAGGTTGATTGGTCTTTATAAATCCTCCTTAGGTCTGTGTTTGTGTGGCTATGATTGTTTGTCTCTGTGATGGACTGGCGACCTGTCCAGGGTGGACATTTCCTCTCACCCGCTGACCACTGGAGATAGGCACCAGGACAGATCTCAATGGAATAAGGGTGTAAGAAAATGGATGGATGGATGAAGGGATCAATTTAGATAAATACATATAATCACCAGCACCACACCACGAAGATATAGGTTTAAAGACTTAGATGCACAGCAGCACTGTTGCCTTGCAGCAAGAAGGTTCTGGGTTCTATTCCAGGCCTTTTTCTGCATGAAGTTTGCATGTTCTCTCTGTGCAGGTGTGGGTTCTCTCCGGGTGCTCCGGCTTCCTCCCACAGTCCAAAAACATGAGTGTCAGGTTAATTGGTCTCTCTAAATTCTCCTTAGGCCTGTGTGTGTATCCATGATTGTTTGTGATGTCTCAAGGGGATGAAAGGATAAAGGGACGATCTAAACCCTAGTAGTGTTCTGTTCTGTGCTTGTCATAGATTGTTCCGGACAATCTATGACAAGCACATGTTCATAAGGGTTGAACATGATGTCATATGTGCTCTTGACAACAGGACACCAGGCTGCCATTGGATGACTGACTTTTGAGGTCTCATCTGATCTGTGACTGCAAGTTTTGCACTTCTCTTCATCCGAGTGTCCAAGACATACGGCGCAAGATCCAATGAGACGATGACAAAGTTGATTATTGAACTGCAGCTTAGGGTGTCCTGGTGCCAAGTGCACATATGGACACCCTTATGACTGAACATGGTGTTCTTTATGGACAATCTGTGACGAGCACAGAAGTCCAACAACAGAACACCACTTGAGTTCAGATCGGGGGGAGCACTCCTCGCAACCACACCCCTCCAGGTCTCACTGTCGTTGGGAGACTTCACAAGAGCGTTGAAGTCCCCCAGCAGAACAAGGGAATCCCCAGGAGGGGGCACTCTCCAGTACCCCCTCTAAGGACTCCAAAAAGGGTGGGTAATCTGAACTGCTGTTTGGCCTGTAAGCACAAACAACAGTCAAAACCTGTTCCCCCACACGTAGGCGGAGGAAGGCTACCCTCTCATTCACCTGGCTAAACCCCAACGTACAGGCGCCGAGATGGGGAGCAACAAGTATGTCCACCCCTGCTCGACGCCTCTCACCGTGGGCAACTCCAGAGTGGAAGTATATATATATATATATATATATATATATATATATATATATATTATATATATATATATATATATATATATATATATATATATATATATATATATATATATATATATATATATAAAATTTCCTTCTCACCCACCGCGGGTGGTTCTTATCCTCTGAGCTCGGGTCCTCTACCAGAGGCCTGGGAGCTTGAGGGTTCTGCGCAGTATCTTGGCTGTGCCAAGGACTGCACATTTCTGGACTGAGATGTCTGATGTTGTTCCTGGGATCTGTTGTAGCCACTGCTCCAGTTTGGGGTTACTGCCCCGAGGGCCCCGATGACCCAGGCACCACTGTGGTCTTCACCTTCCAGGCCCTCTCCAGTTCTTCCCTGAGGCCCTGGTATTTCTCCAGTTTCTCGTGCTCCTTTTTCCTGATGTTGCAATCACTTGGTATTGCTACATCTACCACATCGGCTTTCCTCTGATGTTTATCCACTACGACAATGTCTGGTTGGTTCGCCATTACCATTTTGTCTGTCTGGATCTGGAAGTCCCACAGGATCTTAGCTCTGGCGTTCTCCACCACCTTTGGGGGTGTTTCCCACTTTGATCTCGGGGTTTCCAGTCCATATTCTGCACAGATGTTTCTGTACACTATGCCTGCCACTTGGTTATGTCGCTCCATGTACGCTTTCCCTGCCAGTATCTTGCACCCTGCTGTGATGTGCTGGACTGTTTCAGGGGCCTCCTTGCACAACCTACACCTTGGGTCTTGTCTGGTGTGGTAGATCTGGGCCTCTATTGCTCTGGTGTTTAGGGCCTGTTCCTGGGCGGCCAGGATGAGGGCCTCTGTGCTGTCCTTGAGTCCAGCTTTTTCCAGCCATTGGTAGGATTTACTGATATCAGCCACTTCAGTTATTTGCTGGTGGTACATCCCATGTAGGGGCTTGTCCTCCCATGATGGTATCTCTGGCACTTCAACCTCCGTTCCCTGTTGTCTGAGACATTCACTGAGCACATTGTCTGTTGAGGCTTTGTCCCTGATGTATTTATGGATCTTAGTTGTTTCGTGGATAGTGGTTCTCACACTCACTAGTCCTCAGCCTCCTCCTTATATATATATATATATATATATATATATATATATATATATATATATATATATATATATATATATATATATATATATATATATATATATATATATATGTTTTAGAAATTTTTTTTTCTTGTTTTTTTTTTAACATGAAGTACAAAAATTAAATCAGGAATTTCATTAACAATTGATACATTGACCCACAGAAAATATGAGAATAGGTGCAGTATTAAATTTGATCCACATATTTTCATCTAAATTTCTAAACACATCAATTTGTTTTGCTTGTAGGTTTTTATAAAAACTTTTTATAATCTGTAGCCATTCCCTGTAGCCACAGGCCACATGTAATATTTATACTTGACTTCTGCTCTCAATCATAGGGTAGAAGACAAGTATACACAAAACCCTCTAACTTAATTAGAAATATGTACATAAAAATGATTCATATAGCACCAAAGCGTGCTACATCTCATGGCCCCAAACGACATTAGTTAATATTCTCCATTAGTTGCATGGAGATCTACTCGTCAATAACTTTAGAGACAAGGTCAGAGTTCTAATTTCTGATCTCAGGCTTATCCATACAAAATAAATAGTCTGTCTAGCAGTTTAGGTTTTCTTGAATAAATGCAAAGAAATAATAAACCAAACATAAATTTCTTTATGTTCATTGTTATAACTAAATTTTATTGTTTATTATTCAATGCGCAGATGTGAATATTAACGTCCCTGTGCGCATCACTAACGTCAGAGAGCATCTACGTCAGAGCGTATTGGCCAATCTTATATGAACCGGAAAGGGTTTTCGCACTGCGGGGCCTGGCAGTGGTTTTGGGTCTTGAGAGTGGTGTTGTTAGCAGTTATGGTCCCCGTTGCTAGTAGTTAGCAGGATAAGTCGCTAAGTTGACTGCGTTTAAGTTCTTCGGTGAAACACAACCTGTATTTGCTTGCAGCTAAGCATAAAAATATCGATAGTTGTTGCTATAAAATGTTCTAAATTGTTTGTTTTATCACTTTACACACAGGGTGGAAGTCTTGGTCGATAGCTGAGAGAAGTCAGCGTCAAGCTGTTCATAGACCAAATGGAGATTTCCGTTGCTCTACAAAATAAAAGCATACCATCAGACTGTTCCTGTATTGACCACAAAATACTTCAAAGCGTTAACGCAAAGCTGGGAACAATGTAAATGCAACGCAAATTGTATGCGTATCTAAAAGTTTTATCTTCTGGCCCAGTCCAGAAGATACGACGTGTATCACTTTTTTTTTCTTTTCTTCTTTTTTTTCTTCGAAGAACTCAAAATCTCCAACGAGACAGGCAGGGCGAACCACAGCAGGATCGCGTTTTGTCGCTCGGGGGGAACCAACCAGAGTTCATGTCGCTAGCTTAGCTAACCCAGCCTGCTAGCGAGTGATTTGCCAGCATGCTAATGGGGACAGTTTAACCGCAGCACAACTGCAGTGAGTCTCTCCCGTCTGAGTCCGTGGATGTTCCAGGCGAGCTGAAAGTCCGGCCGAGCCATGCGACAGTGGTCTGTCCCCGCTGCGACCCCTCGCGCCGAGCCACTCCCGGGGCGCCTGTCCGTGTCACCCCCTCCGTCGGGTAAGTGGGGAAAACATCGGGAAGCAGGAGAGGGGCTTGTTGTTATTCATGTTTTAAAGCCAAAACTCAAGACGGTCGTTTACAGTGAAATAACATATTGACAGAGTGATGCGTTGGTAATAATCAGTCAGCCAATTCTACCTTGTTTAGTTACAAAGTTTATACATATATAGATATTTTTTTATTCTAAAGTGCGGTCTTGTTTGAAAAAAAATGTTTTTAGTTTTTAATAATAAGAGACTGTCAAATTTCCTGTTCCACTCCAAGCGACTGGCCATGATGTTGAAGGAAGCTCGTGTTAATTTATGCATGCTGGGAGGATTTTACTTTAATTCTTCGCTGGGCAAACTGACCAAGGTTAGTCTCAAGTGTCTGTGCCAAGTGTTTTGAAAGCTTGCCAGAACTTTGACTGACCCACTGGGTTCTCCAGAGGTGAATGCAGCGTGTTTCATGCAATTGTATGAACCAGTGTTCTCTAACGCAACCTCCAGAACCTTGGGGAAGTATTCCAGCCCTTTGAGCTGTTTCTTTCTTTCTTTTTTTCTTTTTTTTCTCCCTCATTAGCAGTCTTGTCACAAACTTGAATGCATTTTTACTGAAGTTTTCTGGGACAGAGCTGCGGTTCATCTGCATGTGGAGTACATCTGCATCATGCTTATAGACCTGCAGGCCAAAGTATTGGCCCAACTCTTCCTTGCCAAATATCAATTTCAGTTGGATCCAGCTGCAAACATCCAATACCTCGATAAGGAAAAAAAGAAATAAAAATTTACCATTGGTGAAGCAATTCTAAAATATATACGTACTGTAGTATCACAAGTTCAATCAAAGCAGTCTGCACAGTGTTTGTGATCACCGGTTTTACAGCATCGTGAAAAATTTAGAACTGGACTTTGACTGGGCCAATCTGACTCTTAAATTTGCTGTCATTCAAACTCATTCGGTTTTAACTCCGGCTGCGTGTTCAGAGTCACTATCCTGCTGGAAAGTGGGGCCTAACGAGGAGCAATATCCCCCCAGCATGACGCTGCCACCGCCGTGTTCACGCTGCTACACAGAGCTGGTTTTGGCTAACACGTCGGCTGTGTCCCCTGCACGGCTTGTGGTGGACTCCAAACAAGACGACCTATGACCTCCTCGACATAACTTATTTTTTTATTATTCTTTTCATAAATACCTGCTTCAGAAAATTTGTTGTCAGTTTTAAAGAACCCCAATCTTATAGCTGTTTTTAGGTTTTCACAGAAGAAAAAACACAAAACTTTAGCAGAACATTTTGTATAAGTTTGGATGCGTTCATTTCTGTTGAATTTAATAGATAATGAAAAAGTGAAAATGGGAAAAAAATAGTTTCCAACTTAATGATAGTGTTTAGATACAATTACGCTGGTATTTTTCAGTGTAACGCTTCATGAAAAATCTATTTGTTCCATAATGAACTTCATTTGTTATTACATTTATGTTTAAAGCATTAGATTATTCTTTGTTGTATTAAGGATGAGTTTCAAAGCGCCGGTGCGTTCCAAAGAGCCGCAGACGGCTGCTCTGAATCACGCACAAATACTCTTCATTTACTTATTAGTGCCGCTCTGAAGGCAATTAGTCACAGTGGATTTTATTTGGACGTGTCGGGAGAAAGAAGCTCAACGCAGATACATCCCAAAGTTTTCAGATTTTCTACAGAAAAGAAATCAAAAACCACAAAATATTTTGTTCTACTTCACAGCTTTTCATAATTCTGTGCTATTTTTCTCTTGCACTTAAAATCCGAGTAAAATATTTAGAACCTTCTGTTTGTGATGTGAAATAAAGAGAACATACGTCGGATTATAAACCTTTGTCGCAAATCTGATATTTTTATTTCAAAAATTACAAATAATGGCACACTATCTTCAATTATAGTCTTGTGAAGTTTCTTATTATCATTACTGTTGTTATTTTTATTCTGGTATTTCATCTTTTTTTAAACTTTTAAGAACTTTTTTGTGTGAATCTTTACACTTGACATTGCTGTTACACCTGAATTTTCCCATTAACATAAACAATGAAGACTGATTCTATTCTATTCTATTCTATTCTATTCTATTCTATTCTATTCTATTCTATTCTATTTCAATACTTTTATGCCTGTTTTGCTTTTTAAGCGAACAGTTGGATACCCTCAAAGACAGGGAGGTGTTTGATTTCAAATTAGCATGCCTTATCTTATCTGTTTCATCTATTAATAATCCTTTGGTCGATTATCAGTGTGGAGGGGATAAATATAGCGGCGTGTGCTTTTTGTAACGGTTTAGAACGCCTCGTTGCGTTGTGTCTGCAGACCCCAGGATGGAGGCGAGCGAGGTGGAGCCGCGCTACACCATCGAGCAGATCGACCTCCTGCAGCGCCTGCGCCTCTCCGGCATGACCAAGCCCCAGATCCTCCACGCCTTGGAGTCCCTGGAGAGGCTGGACCCGGAGCACCGCCCGCCGCCACTGCCGCCACGCTGCGACTCCCACCCGGCCCCGCCCAGCAACACCGCGCCCGCTGCCACCGCCCCGTCCTCGTCGTCCTCCTCGTCGTCGTCCTCGCTCTCCCTGGCCTCGGCCACCACCCAGACCTCAGGCCTCGAGGGCGCGGCGCTGTCACCCAGCAACAGCTACGAGGCTTCGCCGCCGCCCCTCTACCCCCCCAGCGTGGTGGTGCAGCGGGCGTTCAGCTACGACATGATGGGCGAGGAGGAGTGGGACCTGGAGGAGAAGGTGGAGGAGTACATGAGGTGAGAGGACGACAGGCCGCCGCAGGCTCATTATCCACAAGATGTATCTGAGTTAATTCAGGTCAGGCGTTTAGGGACAACTGGGAAAAGCGAATCATCAGGGAGGAAAGTTAGTTACCCACTGGGTAATAGATTTTTTTTCTTTTTCTGTTAACTTGATGAGTTTTTGTCTTTTTTTTGCAGAAGAGACAGCAACCTGGTGAAAGAGGAGATCAAGACGTTCCTGAACAACCGGCGGATCTCTCAGGCCATCGTAGGCCAGGTCACAGGTACTCCTCCTTCATCCACATTGAAACGATTAATCGTGTTAATCGCGATGAATCGGTTATTGGAGTATTCGCCAAGTAATTTTGTCATTTATTAATTGTTAGCATATAAAACAGACCTTCTGCTGGGAAAAAACTATGGTGCTGTGGTGCGTATTTATATTTATACGCAAAATATAAATATGGTTTAAGAGGTGAACAAAAAATCTTATGTTTTTTATTTTTATTTTTTTTTTTTATATATTATTTAGTTCTTTCCTAGTCTGAACATGTTTTTTAAGCTATGCCACATGCTTTCGACTGAATTCTGACTTTGACTGGGCCACTTTGATCTAAGGCAGTCTCTTTCAGCTCCAGATGTTTTGGATCCGCCTCAACTTTTTGCAACCTCTTTGATTTTCTTGCACTGTACAGTGCTGTGAAACATAAATCCTGTCAGATTTCTTCTCATTTTTTGCTTTCGTCTCGCACTTAAATGTTTTGGTTAATCAAACTTATTCCAATTTTGGATAAAGATAACTCACATAAACATGGAAAGCAGTTTTCAAAAACTGATTCTATTAACTTATGGGATAAGCTATCCTGTATCGCCAGCCATCTTCTCACCATCTGATGATGGTAGGTTTCAATACGCCCCTTGCCCAGTAACTCCATGTTCTTTACTCCCCAAAAATTGCTATAACTTAATAATTTTCAAATACGCGAGTATTGTTCATGTTCATAAAAATCACAAAACATTAATAGAATTCACATGATTTGGGCTTACAACTCTTACAGAAAGTACAATGTCTGTAAAACAATCAAGCAAAGAACCAAATATCAACTCTTGAAATATCTCATTTAGACATAACAGGATGACACCGGAAATTTTTTTCAGACTTTCGAAAACCAAACTGACAATTTGACGTTCTTATTTTTTTATTAAATTTTTTTAGAACTGACCCACTAAATTTGAGATTCTGTGGCAAGAATTGCAAAAGATTGAGGAAGTTTGAAGTTTTTTCACAAAGAAAAAAAAAATGCTGTATTTCCCATATATATAATTCCTCGTAAGTGTAGTTTGGTAGGATATTAGGTAACACTCAATAGAATTGAAAAAAAACGTCCAGAAAGAAAGCTGGCAGACGAAGTGAGAAAACATTCCCGTGATGTCTGTCTGTGTTTTAGCTTCGATAATGTTCCATACAACTACCTCTCGTTTTTTTTTAAGTCTATTAATAAGAACCCTAATAATAGATGTGAGGATGCAGAAGACAAGTCTTGTTTGTGTCGTTGTGGCGTATTAAGACGGAGCGCCGCGTGCCTCACGAGGCCACACACGTCCTTTAATAAAACACCAACGTCGACGCGCCGTCATTAAATTAACAGGGAGACCGTTGATCTGCGCGCAGATGTAATAAAAACGGACAAAGGAAATGATGTGTTGAAAGGATTCATTTGACCTCCGCTGCGCAGGCATCAGCCAGAGCTACATCTCCCAGTGGCTGCTGCAGCAAGGCCTGGAGATGAGCGACTCCAAGCGCAGAGCCTTCTACCGCTGGTACCTGCTGGAGAGGAACAACCCAGGTGAGCAGACGGAAAACCACACGGCAGTTCTATCAATGCCGGCTGCAGACCAACTAGCAAATCTTAATGGGGGTAAATTAAATGGCTGATGACACTGATTGTGTTTTTGTGAATTTTGATTCAACGCCTGGTCACCTTCCAACCCTCACCCCAAAACCCCTACATCGCTCCCTCTCCTCATCCTTCCTGCATGGCTATTCCTTTCTGCTAACGCCCAAACCGCTCCTCAAGGACTGCGAGGTCAAGGAAGGACTCGGGACACATCTATGGTTTCAGAGGGAAGACAAAATGATAAAGGTAGTCCCGTCACAGGAGCTTCTAATCGATAAACCCCACCCCACCCCCTCTAGTTAGGAAGTGAAGGTGGTTTTGTCTGCACCGGCTACAGTAACAGCTTGAATCGGTTCTGACCTCTTCGTGTCCTACAAAGCAGCTACTTAAACACACAAAAAAAAAAAAAAAACTGCACTCAGGATGCTCCCGGCTCTTCTTTGTGTTGGTTTTAACAGCATGTTACCACGGTGAATTATGTGACTTTTTTTATTTGAGTACTAAAAAGTAGAAACAAGTTGTCTGTCACACCATCTGCCGTCAGACTTCGTGTTACTGCTTTTTTTTTTGTTTTTTGTTTTTGTTTACCACCCAAGCAAAGCTTTGCTTCGGCTCCTCCACTGTTTCCCAGCCCTGATCCTGGAGGTACTCCGGTGCTGGTTTTCATCCCTACATGGCTAACGGTCTTTAGTAGGAATACTAACAAGAATGATTCCACCGTGTTTCCTAGCCGAATATGGCTGCTTCCTTTTGCTTCTCACATAAACTCCTTTTGACCTGCCCGTCATTAAGAAAAATCAAAGAATATTTTATTTCAGATAAACTGACCCTTTGCAACTACGTTGAGGCGCCACGTCCGTAAGTGAGTCATGGGAGGTTTGCACAAACGGCTGCCATTGTTTTTGCCGTTATGGCTTCTGCTTGTCCAAGTCGAGATAATTTGTCTGTGCAAAGAGTCGATACAGAACCTCTTACGGCAGGTCTACAGGAGTGTGCCAAAGAAAACATCCAATCCGCCTCCACCGTCTGGTGTGTAACCCAACCCCGCGGCCCGCCTCAATGACTTATTGGTTTTGTCCTAATGAAGGCCTGAGGTGGAGTGAAAGCCAGCACAGCGTGAGTCCCATGGCCAGGGCCAGGGCAGGGGACAGAGATGGGACGGTAGCAGGGGCAAGTGGCACCCTCCCCAACATCTTCCCCAACCCCAACACCAACCTGATGCCCAACCACAACCCGTCCTGGAGCAGGCAGAGAGAGCTGCTGGTGCACCTGCTGCCGTGGTACACAGCCGCCGCCGCAGCGGCTGCCACCCAGCCAGGTAACCGCGGCCTCGGCGGCGAGCTGCGGAGGACGCCTTCGTCCCCTTGACAGCTGTAGTCCTGAAAAGTACAGTCGTTGTTTGTGACAGGAAATGGCTAAAATGGGGTTCATTTGCGGCCATAGAGTTGTTGAGAAATTTTTTTTTTTAACATACGTTTTTTTTACTGCTTCCGAGTTTTAGGATCTTTGGTTCTGTGATGTAAAAAAAATTCAGCAGAGAGGCTTTCGTAAATTTCGAATAGGGCTGGGCTGCATGGCCTGAAAAGAAAATCTCAGATCTGATTCAACAAAATTAGAAAGCGAAATTGCAACCTAGAATTTCCCAAACTCCGAGTAGAAGCAGAGCATTTCCACATTCCAGTTTTTGTCAGTGATCTTTACCGCGTACAAATGTATGGGATGTAGGAAGAAATAGCGAGGTAAAACTTTATTAACATAAAGCCAATGGACAGAGCCTTGATTTACAGTTAATGTTTCACTTCTGCCCTTTGGGAGAATGATTGAAACCTGGTGGAAACCTGACTTTACCCAGCAGGTGTCTTACATTTTGCACGGATAAATTTGATCCTATGTTCCTCAGGTGCGACCTTGTCGATGCGCTCTTTGGTGAAGGAGGAACCGGACTGGAGAACGGGTATCATCGCCAGCGACAGAGCGGGGATCGTAGGCGGTCCTCTGAGGCTGCGCAGAGGAAGCAGGTTCACCTGGAGGAAGGAGTGCCAGTCCATCATGGAGAGGTGAGCGTCTTGTAAAGGCAACAGCTTATTTTAATACAGAACTTCCCGTATTCGCATTTGGAAAGAATTTACATTGTGTAAGTAGAATGAGAACTTTTGAACCCAATTTTTTTTGCTTGGTTTTCATTTTGGAGCATGGGAATTGTGATAACTTGATTCTAGTGTGTGGGTCAGGGATCGAATGGCCATTCTCCCAGTGGTTTTTGGAAATCAAACCTGTGCCAGTTTTGAGTTTTCCAAACTCCTTCTTCTATTTTGCAAAACTGCCTTTCCATCTTTTCTTCCTCTCTTGCATTCGTTTACCCTTCTTTTTGTGTCTCTCTATTCTTTCATTCTTTCCTTCCCAGATTAAATCCTTCCCGGTTTTGTTCCTTCCTTTCTGTCTTTCTAATCGAGCCCAAATCTTTCATTGGTTACTTCCATTCATCTCTCCTCTGCTCCCTGAGTCCTGTCCTCCATACTTCCTCTCTCAGATCATTTTATGTTATCTTTTTTTCTTCTATTCTTCCTTCCGGTCTCAAATCTTTCCATGTTTCCTTTCTTCTGCTCTGCTTTCCTTATTGTCAGTCTTCCTCCGCATCTCAGATCCTTCCTTCATCTCTAGTTCAAACCTCCTGTGTCCTTCTGTTCTTTTCGTTACCTTTGTTTCTTTTTCCAAACTCCCTCATTCTTTCTCTTCTTCCCTCTGTCTTCTTTTCTTGTTATTCATTCCTTACCTAGTTCCTTTCTTTCTTACACACTTTCATGTTTCCTTCTCTCTCTCTTTGCCATCTCAGATTCCGTCTTCCTTCCTTTCTACATGTTTCCTTCTCTCATTGTTTGTTCTGTCCTAACTCCCTGCCATTCTTGGTCTATTTATCTTTTTTTTTTTTGCAGCTTCCATATTCAAAACCTGTAGAAACTGTCATAGTGTCACAGTGAACCTCCTGTCGTTCACTAGACAAATATATGTGATGAAAGTAAAATAAAAATGACCTTTGAAGGAGTGAAGTTGGGGGCATAATAAATTATACAACGCAAAGGTAGGGACATTTAAATATGAAGCTTTAATCTTTGAATTCTGGCCCAGGAGCCATTTGTGGCCCTTGACATGATTTTGTTTGGCCCCTGATCACAGGTCAAGCATGGCAAAAAATTTGGCAAACAAACTACAAAACAATAATCACCCAAATAATTTTGAAATCGGCAAATTTTCTCAGTCCGAAGTTTGGGTGGGCATTAATCGTATTGTTTATCATTTATTACGATTTATCATTGTCTCATTAAATGTCCGTCAATGATGGTAAATAGAAAAACAAAACTGACCATTGTATTGGAAATATATTGTATTTTCGACAATGGCCTCAATAAAAATCTGTAAAATCAAAAATATGATATCATGCAGGGTCTGGATGCAGCGTAGTGATAAAAATCAAACTTTTCTTTCTGTAAGTAATGTCCATTTCAAATGGAAATGTTTGTCAAGAACAATATTTCTGTTTGTAGAGCCATAAATGCTGAGGCATGCAGTCACAGCATACCTAAAAACAAGTCTGTTTTAATCATCGTAATCTTTCTTGTTACCATCGCAGTGTCACAAAATATTGCGATAAAATTTTAAGTCTGTGGCGCACACCTCTGGTCCAAAGTCCTTTTTACGTCTTCCATCTTCAATGATTTACAGATTTCATAAAAATATAGTTTTTTTGTTGAGAAGGTTAAAAAAATCAATATATACAGATTTTTGCATTTTTAACTGAATTTAATTTGTCAGTTTTGGACATCACTGTCAACTCACAACATTATAGTAAGTTGCCTGAGATGAATCATTGTGATGACAATAAATAAATTAAAGTAGAGCAAAATATGCCTTATTTTAAGCCAGAATTGTGTTTCTAAGTTTTAAATTGTAAAGTTAATGCGTCTGAAACCAAAAGTATACTTGAGGTATTTATCAATAATCGTAATAATTACAGTAATTAATAAATATCATCAAACTCTTTGTTCACTTCTGCCCTCTGGAAGGCAGCTTCTTCCCTTCATCCCTTTCCCATTACACATCCATTCACCCCCCCGCACCCACACACACACAGATGCTGACAGAAAGGAGCAAAGCACCCGCTGTGTTCAATTGATTTCTCTATTACATCGGTCGGTGTAAGTGTAGTGCAGTCCGGGCTCTCTCAGTAATGAGAGCAAACACAGACGAGTCTCAGCAGCCGGCAGCGCCTACAGATTACGCAACTCTGCTGCAGTGCTGCTCCTTATGAGCTGGTTTAGACCCAAGGACGACACAGCAGAGGTGAAGATGATGTGTGTGTTTGTGTGTGTGAGAGGGAGGATGTAGAGGAATTGATCCCTGTGTTTTGTAACGCGAGATAATGATTTAGCCCAGGCAGAGACAAAAAGAGGACGACTTCAAAGAGAAAGGAACACTTTAGTGCTTTAATGTTCAGCTTTTACATATATTAATAAACGTGATTTGTTTTAAAAATTACCCAGCTGTAAAAGCATTGGCTTCCAGAAAGCAGCCTTCCTTCTGTTCACACTGTGCAGGAAGCAGGCTGAAAAAGTGACGCAGCACAAACCGGCCGAAACGGTTTGTGCCGCGTCGTATCTGCAACATGCGGGATGATTGTGAAGTATTTCTGGAAGCACTGTGACGCTCTCTTACAGCTTCTTCTTGGAGAATCAGTATCCAGATGAGGCGAAGCGGGAGGAGATCGCCAGCGCCTGTAATTCTGTCATCCAGAAACCAGGTTGGAAGGCCGTCATTTTTCACCCAGATTATTTTCTCATATTATTGAGCTACTGAGAATAAACGCAAACATTGCTTTGATTAGATTTTCTTCCCTTTTATTTATGGAGACTTTTGCTTCCTCTTATTGGATAGAAAATCCACTTCCTCCTCATAACTTTGGTCTGTAATTATGATGTAATAATGAAAAACATGCGATCTCACTGGTTAGCATGCTCATTTTTCAGCTTGTATCCACAGCTGAAACCTCAGATTCATAATTTATGAAATAAGGATAAAACCAAAAACTTGTGTGAGAAATGAAACCCTCTGGGTTTCCTTCTGTCAGGTAAATAATGAGATGTAATATTTTGTTTGGGTGGAAGTTTTTTTTCAATGATATGCATTTAAAATACTCCTACAGCCTCTAAAAAGCTAGGTCATTGATTCCTAAATAACCCAAGAGTTAAAAAAAAAGGGTGTGTTTGACAGGAGAAGGTTAGTGTCGACCACTAGATGGCACTTCATCCTAAAAATACAAAATAACCTTTCGGTTGTATTTTTTATAAAAAAAAAATCAAATCTTTATCGTTTCTTCCCCTGGTATCTTTTAATGCTTTTGCATTATTAGAGGAACAAATATCAGACCTCCTGTTTTTTTTTTTTTTTTTTTTTTTTTTTTTTTTTTACAACACTTAATGAGGTTCTTTATTATTATAAAAAGTTAATTTTGCCACTAAATAGACTGAAACTGATCCTACTTCAATACTGTATGAACAGATCATGTGTGTCACTCATTCCTCTCCTGCTTCAGGCTGTAAACTGTCAGAGTTTGAGCGGGTGACGGCATTGAAGGTGTACAACTGGTTCGCCAACCGTCGGAAGGAGATGAAGAGAAGAGCAAATATAGGTGAGAGCGGCTGACCTGACGAGAGCCAGCCAACAGTTCACACGCACGCACGCATGCACGCACACACACACACCCACACCCACACACACACACATGCATACAAGGCCTTTCCACCAATTATTCCGGTTCCCGAATGTGTTTTCAAATCGTTGTCGTGTGTTTCCACAGAAAATAACAAAGTTCCACAGCACAAATTGTGGTTGAACTCAGACACATCTCTCTGTGATGTGCAGTAAGAGTGAACACTGTATTGATTGAACAACAGGAGTTCAATTGGAAGGTCTAAGGGTTGTTAAATTAGCAAAAAAAAAAAAAAAAAAAGCTGTTTTTTTTTGTAGATCAACTACTTTTCAAGAACCTGAAGTTGACTTCCATTTGTGGCTTTCGATTAGAATTAAGATGTGGCCTAAAAAAAATCCAAACTTTGGGTCAGGCTATAGATCTAAACTCTACTTTCTATCGTTGAAACAGCAACAATTCTACCTTGCTTTTCCTAAACTAAGAGTCTAAAACTTGCTCAAGCTTAAAAACTACATTACTTTAACTCTTAAATATGGACTGTGTTATTTTACTAGCAAAGTGTTTCAAACTTTTTGGGGGGATTTATGGAATCTGAAGCCGACTTCAACTTCCTCTGTGTTTCTATTCACCGTTGCTTGTTGTAGTCCATGAAAACCATTGAACCCGACGTCTTGCCATTGCGCTCTCCTACCGTGTTGTGTAATGCCCGCTGTTTTCAACGCATGCTCGGCTCCACAAACTGGTGAAAACGGCGTCGGCTCTCAACGGGGCACCGAAGTTTGAAGGCAACAGAGCCAGTCCAAAAACGAGCGTCCCTTCATGGGAAACGGGTTATGAGTGGTCAATTTCTGCTCCGTCCTGTTTTGTCTCAACCAGAAGCCGCCATCTTGGAAAGCCATGGGATCGAGGTGCCAAGTCCGAGCTGCCACTCAAACGGCGAAGAGGGGGAGCTGCAAGAGTTCGTAGATCAGGTGAATCATCGGTTCTCGGAGCAGGAACATGAACGGACGAGGTGTCACTTGGTGTGCAGTGTGTAGCATAGCCTTTTACCTACGCTATGCTGTGGTGTAGGTGTGTCTTTATGCTTTTGGATTATTAGTAAAACTCAGCTTAATGACTGCAGAGTCTTAGAGGAATATGTCATCCATGTCTATTGATTTCCTCTCTACATTTTTACAACCGCAGATTTGTTCCTTATTTAGTCTCTAGCCAGATTCAATAAATTTTTTTAACTGATTTCAGAAAATGAAGCTCTTACATGTTATAGATCCATCACACAAGTATTGAAATATTTCAAGGTTTTTCTCTCGTACTTTTGATGCTCCTGGCTCATAAATAGGAATTCAGAAAAAATATCTGATCATTTCTTTGATTCAGTATTTGTAGCTTTTTACAAGTACAGTAGCTGAAAATCTGTTCGACTTGAAAGTGGATTGGAGTTTCCCCTTCCAGTAGACCAATGACCCTGACCATACATCTAGAGTCCAGATGTATGTTTTCAAATGGGCTAGTCAAAGTCCAGAGCTAAATGAGGTTGTAAATTGTTTTAATATAAGGTTTCCTCGTCCTTCCACATATCAGTTATGTTGGTCTTTGAGTTTGTCATGTAAAATCAGCCAAAAAGATCCACCAAAGTTTTTGTTTGACACATAAAATGTGAGAAAGTTGATTCCTGTTCTGTTGTCTGATGTTGCGTGCAAATCTTTCGAACTACACCTGAGCTCCCTCATATGTTACCACTGTTGGACCTCAGGAGATTCCCACTCTGCCCTTTGTGTTAGCAGTGAACTGCTCTGTGGGAGTCGATGTGCAGCAGCAGCAGAACGAGCTAACAGCAGGCAGCGCCGCGCAATCACACTCTGGAAATCTTAAAGCCGCCGCTTTGATGGCTTTAACAAGCCGACCGAAACTTTCTGAGCTGCTGTGTAGGCAGAACGGTCATCTCATTATCCCTCTGCCTCTCACAGGAGGACGCCACTTCCCAGAAAATCGTTGACCAACAAGATGGCTCCTTGCTGATCACCGGGGAGACGGCGGCGGCCCCGCTGAGCCCCGGCCCTCCGGGGGCGGAACAGAAGGACGAGGATTCGAAAAGGGAGTCCGTGGACGAGGAGTGACTAAACCCAGCCAGACTTTCAATCGTCATGTCTGAATATTATTCAGTCTGAAACAGAACAGTGAAATGCCTCCTGCTCCACCTGCGGCTGGAACCTTCTGGCCCAATGGAAGGATGGGGGTGGGGCTTGGTTGAAGCCCTCTGAGGTGCCTCAGGTGAGGTGGCCACTGCATTTATCAACAGTAATCCTGCTTATAATAATGGCAATATACAGTCTATGTATAGGTATATAAGGCCTATGATATATAAATCAATATATAGTGCATTCCAAGATGGTATCAAAATGCCTAAATCCTGTGAGGGGAGCATTATGTAAAGGACGCCTCACCATTTGAACATAAGCTGTTTTTTTTTCTGTTTTTCTTTTGCTACATGTTTGGTTTATGCCAACATGCGGCTGCTGAGCGGAATAATCTGAGCCTGCAGGTCAGGCTTTGATTGGTTGTTGTAGAGAGTGCGGCTTCTGTCTTTTGGTGAAACAGAAAAGGCAAAAAAAACAACAAACCCCCCTCACCCCCCGCTGTCTTGTTGTTACTAGGATGTCTTTGCCTGGTTTATAAAGCGATTGATAGGTTTTAATCAATCAGCACGTGTTGTCGGCACTAAATCTGTACAACCCGGAGGGATAACCGGCGTCTCAGGTAATCCCAAAGTGACAAGTTGCACCATCTTTCCTTTTATTCTCTGTGTGTGTGTTTTCTTTTGAAGCAAAATTGTGTTTAAAGAAAACTGTTATTTATACTTTTTTTGATTTCATGGTGTCCTGGACTAGAGATGCCCCGAGAAGTCAACTACTGACTCTAATCATTCAAACTACATGTAACCAACATACAGGTAGCGCACACAGCCACACTCTTCTTTGTTACTGTGGGAAGAACACTTAATTATTTTCGGTGTTAGTCAGAAAGCTAGTGTTTTCTATGAAATGTTGAGACACATCTATTAATCATGCTGTGTGAGAGAGCAAGACTTTGAGCAGATAACAGGAAGGCTGAATAGACTGGTGTACACTAAAACTAAAAAAAACAAAAAAACACCTGGGAGTCCTACTGTCTTGTCTCCCAAGTCAGCTTTCTAGAAATTCAACCTTTAGACCTTTGACCTAAACAACTTAATTACATTGTTAGGGACATAAGCAACAGAAGCAATAATCACCCAAATATTTTTTTTTGGGTGATTATTGCTATACTATTGATGGTGACTTATTTAGCTTTTTAACTGCCCCATTATTTACATTTTGTTTTAGTTTTATGAGTTTGACTTTATTGAATGAAGTCGATAGTGTTTGTTCAAAGTACCTCTTTTAAACTTCTTACTCCCAACGTTTTTCTGTATGGTTCTCTTTGTTTGGGGCTGAGGAAACCATTTGGATTTTAGGCAAAACAACTAGAGCCAAGTTGCCATCTTCTTTCACACTAAAGAAGGTTGAATAAATTACAGAGTAACCAGTTGAGACTCTCCCATACTTCACCCGAAACGCTGAAGTTGTTTCTCTTTGACGGAAATGCGTGACAAAAATCAGGTCGTGTTATTCACAAGGAGGCGTCGTCCTTGCTTCCACTATCTGGAACACGATCCTGTTTACGGAAAGATGAGGTGTTCTCTCTGTGACCGTTAATATAAGATGCTGGATACCTTCCTGGTTTAGAAAGGTAAACTTTGGGAAAATGCTGCATTCTGGTATTGTCATAAAACAGTTTTACTCCACTGGCCTTTCACACAGAAACAGAATATATACTCGTCTGTAATTTAATGGGTTTCAAAGCCCGATTGAAATTGGTCACAGAATCCTGACGGGTGCATCTCTAGGCTTTACACACCTACAATGGAATATTTTTTTTTCTTTCTTTTTTTTGTTAAATTCATTGGTGCTGTTTAATCTCATGCCAGAGTCTAGCCAAAGAGGCTAGGTTGGTTACATTATAATGTAATCATTCTTATTTTGATATATCTATATGTGTATATCGTTTCAGAAACGCTAAAACTTGCTTGTTGCATCTCCAGGAAGGCTTCAGGCACTTTTCCTCTCTTACTGGGATAAGCCAAAGCTTCTAAGCTCCTGTACGTTTTTGTGCAAAGCTGCACTTCAAACTGAACCTCACTTTAACTAGTCCCTCCAGACCTCACCGAGGGTGTGTAATTCTTTTAGTTATACTGTCATATTTCCATACCCAAGGCTGCAGGAGTCAAATCTAATTGTTCATGAAATGGACAACCAATACTTTATTGTCAAAGGAAGCCACCATTGTTGCCTCCTAATGCCAAAGCTATGCCAGATAGAGCTGATCTACAGATGCCCAGAGCAGAGAGTAGGATTATTTACTCCGTTCAACACTAGCCACCTCAAGCTTACCTCAGAATGATTGTTTTTAGGAGTGATTTCCTGGCTGACAGCAGCCGGCCGGTGAGTGGGACTGTTTCTCTTCTGAACGGTGTTGTTGTGTGTCATGTAGCATTTACAGCATTGAGCTTCGTCCTGTGTTCTCAGTGTCCAGTCACCTCCTCGGACAGTTCTGCTGTCCAGCTTTGGACAGGAATCCCCCAAAGCTGCAGCGGTTTCTTATTACTGCGCTCCTCTGCATAAGCTTTTATCTACCGAGGGAAGACGATAATAAAAGTGTACGCAATCTTTGTCGAGTTTCTCTTGATCATTCTTGCGCAATTTGAGGTTCGGCCATGATGAAGAAGCTTGATGTTCAGTCGCTGTACGATTAAGGTAAGGAGTTACAACCTATAAATGGCAGATCCTACCAAACCTTTCATTTGAGCTGTTGACAATTTCATTAGGTTCTGACTGTTAAAGGGGACGTATTATGCCAAACTGACATTTTGCACGTTTTTGTACTTTTGTTTGGGTTTCTACTGCTTCTTGGTGTCTGGACAGTGAGGCGTTTCAAAAACGTTATGAATGTAACGTCACAACATTTAAGCGTGATGTTATGATTTGAAATAATTTTAAAGATTTTGTTTCATTCAGGACACATGGTTTTTGGAGCAGAGTGTTTTTTTTTTTAAATCACATATTTAAGTGTTTCAAAAGTTTTAGTGTTGGAAAAATACCAACTTGTGTAAACTTCACTTAACGGCCACTCCTGCTACAAACCACAAGAGGGAGACATTGTCTGCTGTTGATTCAAGAGGTCTTGGACGAGATACTTTTAAAAGTCCTGTGGTGTTTATCTAAAGCAAATTAAAAGCAAAAAATAATAATAATACTCTGCCGAGTACATGACAGATGACATGGAAGGAATAATTATTTTTAGTAACTTGAAGCAGAGTCATCAAATAATCCACAGGGATTTTCAGAATAAAACATAATAAATGTCAATGATGTATTTGCAAGTCAGGTTTTTGCAGGTTCTTCTGGGGATTTTTTTTCCCCTCTGTTTTCTGGCCTTTCCTGGGTAATCGGCTCGCATCAGGCTCACGGCCCTCTGGTACCCGGAGCAAACTGAGGGGCCTCTGCATCCATGTGCAATTAACTTGGAGAAAACCGGTGAGAAGCTTTCTCTGCATTGTTCCTTTCTTCATTTCATGAAGCTAATTGGCACGATAAAAATGTTTAAAACCGCCATACAGAACAGATTCACAGTGACACAAATCAAAACCACTAAAGAGCTGCATTAAGATGACTGTTATGACAGTATATCGGGTCCTTGTAAATATTCACAAAAAAAATACTTCAAAGTTTCTAGAAAAAACAAGAACATTTTGCTAGAAAAGATTTAGAAACTTTGAGATTAATCTCAGAAATTTTCCAGTGAAAAAAGTGGAAATTTGTTTCGAAAGTTGTACATTTGCTGGAAAAAAAACCAACTCCGAGGACTTGGAGAAAAACAATCCAAATTTCAGCATTTTGAGTAAAAAAATGACCAAATTCTCGATTTTTTTAAATAGAAAATTAATCTAAAAATGTGAGTTTTCTGGTTGAAATTGACGCCTTTTTGCTTTTTCTCTTTTTTATTTCTACCTACAGTTGAACCGGCTTGCCAATGTAGACCTACAATAGGACTTCATTTCCCAGGGGCCACAGGGATGGCTGAGAATGGCGCGCCGGTTATTCCTGAAATCTCGTTGGCCGGCCCCAATGCTCCCTTCACAATGTACGTAGATGAACGTATTGTTCACCAAACGCCGTTGACAATTTTTGCTCTTGATAGTTTCACATTTATTTTTTTTAAAAACGTTACATCACACATTCGAAAGCTTTTGCATGTAAATGCACAACATTTCAGGCAAGCTGCCATTTTTCATCTGTCGCCCCATTGACAGGCCGATGCATGTTGTGTCTGATGATGATAAGAAAGAGAGTCATGAGGCTACCACAGAGAAAACCCAGTTTGTAATGTGTGGTTCATTTGTAACGGTTCAATCGTTTTATTTTCAATTTGAAAAGTTGGATAGAGTTAGCATAACAGTACTAAAAATAGAGATGTGCACACGCGGTCAGGTTGCGCTGGGCTAAACAGGCTAATCGTGTGGCTAGAAAAGTCAGCATGTGGCATACGACGCCATACCAAACTGAATTTGTTTCCACACAGATTTGTGTGTTTTGTTTGGGTAAATAAATAGTTGTCCATGTTTTGGTACCCCACTTCCCAGTTTAGTTCTCCATCCATCTACATTTTGCGCCTCTGTTCCTCCCTGGCCCCCAAGGACACAAAAACATCTAGACACGCCCCTGGCACTTGTACAGATGGTGATGAGAGCCGCTCCGTCTTTCACACACACACACGCACGCACACACACACACACACAAACCAGGTATCCAGCAGTGTGTTTCGGCAGCGTCAGGCTTTAACGCCATCATTGCTCTTCTATCAGAAGCGCTTTTCATCCTCGTCTTTTCTAGCAGCCACTTGCAAAACAAAATTCATGACCTGCCACCATATTTTTTTTTTGTTTGTTAGTTTTTTGCTGACTGCACACACAGCATCCTTTCACCCCCCCCCTCACCCTCCCCACCACCCACCCAGCTACTTTTGCTGCCTCACAAAACACTTGATGACGCAAGTGGCACGCGGAGAACGCAGCTCAATTTGTCAGCAGTGGTTACCGTGCGGCGCGGACGCTTCCAGGAAGGCACTGATTGTGGGCATTTTGTGTCGAGCTTCCGACCTGTTCCACAAGAGAGAAAAAAAGAAACGACAACAACAACAAAAAAGACAGAAAAGCAGAGCCAAGGTGTTTACTTCTTTCCTCTCGGCAAGCCATTAAACGCCCTAAACACCCCCGCCCCCCCTCAGTCTTGTCTGATTAGATTTCATCTGGTCGCCAGGCATCACCTTTCAGCCAGCTGTCCTTTTAAGAAAGAAAGGAGGCGAGAGGAACGAAGAGAGACGAGAGAGCCCACACAGATGAAGATGAAGGAGACGAAGGGAAAGGTTACCTTCAGACCGGGAGGAAAATCCCGGTTACTCCTGATTGTTTCTGCAGCGCGACGCTGCGGGAGCGTGTCTGATCAAATAAAGCCCCTCTCCCGAACACATTACTCGGCCTTTCTTATGGAACAACACAGGAGCAGATGAAGAGAAATCTTCAGTTTTCTTCTCCTTTTTTAACCCCCTTTTTTTAATCATGTTCTATTTCACAGGACAAATGAAAGGAAAACAATGCCACGCTGTGCCCTGAATCTGTCATGGCCCTGGTTTCCCTTCCACAAGTCAGATAGGAATTCCTCAAAGGTCTTGTCACAGTCGCACCGAGCTGATGTTTTTTTTCCCCTTCTTTCCCCATGCTGACTTTTTCCGTCTCGAGCTCTTCTAAAATAAGCACAAGCAGGTTCGGAGGTACTACTGGATTAGCTTTTTGTTGTTGTTGTATCCAGGTACAGCAGCGAAGCTAACTTTTAATTACTTCAACCCACTAAATATATATATATTTTGGAATACTTTTGCATGTCTGGAACAAGCAGTTCCACTCCAAAACAGGTGGTGGCAGTAGTGGCATCATCAGTACACTTCTGTTTTTATCATCAAAGCCAGGCATTGAAGAAAACACTATCTGTCTTTAGTGAATCATTTTGAAAATGCGGATGTTGCGTTCAGTTGCTCTGGCAGCGATTGGTTGTTAGCCACTCCTGACTGAGTGACGCTTTCTAGCTCCGCCCACCCAAAGATTTCCTAACTGCTCCACGCTTTCATGCATGTTTGAGAAATACTTTAATCTGATTGCAACCATTCAGCTGTGCCAAATGCTTGGCGGGCCGAGCGTCGCCTCCTCAGAGCTGCCGTTTCCAAGCTTCCGCTTCACAGAGCAGGCCTCTCCTGCAACTCTCCCACTCTGCTCCTTCAGACTAGCCAGCAGCAATTAGCAAACGCCCGGTTGAACTACGGATGTGCTGAGTTCATTCTCAGAGCTACTTCTTAGTGAAACACTGGTAAAAACGTTGCTAAATGGTTAATAGAGGAGATATTTTGTAGCTAAATTACAAAGTTGCATTTCTTTTATATTATATTTGATATTAACAGCTTTTTTATAGGAACTAAAGGTAACAGTTAGTTGATTGACTTTAATTTTGTGTTGAATTTGAAAAAAAAAAGTGTTGCTGTGACGATCTATTCAAATTGTGATTTGTTCATTGTAAACAGGTGCTTCGTGTTTTTACCAGTGAATCTTATCCGCAGTAGAAGTTGAATAATTTAAGGTGCCACTGTGAGCGCCTGGCAATTTCGCTTCCCTCGCCGGCTCCTGTAAGGCTCCTTCCTGCTTCCATCGTCCCGCTCCTCTGCTGGGACAGGAGTGGAGGAAAGGAGTGATAGAAAAACGTCCTTCATGTTGAAAGACATCCAACCCAACGATACAGAACCAGCAGCTGTCAATCTATTTTTTGGGGTTTCTTTTTTTTTTTTTTCACCGCAGACTCTTTTCGTTAAAAAGAAAACTTCTCCGCACGCCGCAGCAGGATTAACCCTCCCATGTCTTCACTTCTCCAACGCCGGCCGCTAAATAGATTAAAAAGGAACCCTTGAACGCTTTCTGCTGGCTTTAACATTCTTTGACGCTTTTCCACTTGGAGATTTTGACCGAAGAACGGCACCTTCATCTTCTGCTGGCTGTCTATTATTTGTTGTCTGTTATTTGTTCGGTCTTTTGGCAGCGTTCACAAAACCGCACCATAACGCATCCTGAGCAGGCATGCAGAGAGGAACACCTGCTGCTGTTTTAGGCTTACAGATTCTGAAAACTCCAAAATTAAACGTCTCAGAAAGCAAGGCTTTCACGTAGGACCTATTGACGGGTTGAAAGTTGACGGCGTGCGTTGTTCCCCAGCAACAGACTGCTCACTGACAAGTGGTTTTAGCTGTACAATTGTCAACATAACGTTCCAAATCTTAAATTCATGCTTTATATATAAAATAAAAAGGGATGCAGTGCTTTGTTTCCGATCCACAATTAGATAAGAAAGTACGAGGGCATCATATTTTACTAGTTAGTAAACAGTTTTAATCAAAAGAAAAAAAATAGTGAGGCTAAGGGAGGTAGCTACGCTAGCATGACTTTGACAACCTTAACATGTGCTGTGGAATTTGGTGTTTTGGTTCAGTTAAAAAGAAAAAAAAAGCGATGATCCGCGCACCGACTGTCTGACAGATCATCAGCAGGTGTTTAAATCATCTAAATCAGTTTAAATTAAACATCGAGGCTGAGTGCTCTGTTCTTTCCATGGGCTGTTGTTGAGTCCCGGCCCACTGGTGGAGCTGTTGTCTGTCAGTCGCTATGGCAGTGGGTAGCACCTAAATCAGATTTAGAATTTATTACGTGACTCAAGTTTTGTCGTCATAATTGCTCAGTTGAGTCCATAACAATTTGAAAACTTTCTTTTAAAACAGCAAATGGGTCAGATTTTACGTTTTGGATCTTCAATGGATAATGTTCTGTTCCAAAAAAAAAAAGGAAAGAAAAAAAGTAAATACAGAAAATAATGAAACGTAGTGACAAAATGGATGTACAAACCCAGAACAGGCACCAAAAGCAGAATTCGATTAATTAAAACAAACAAAAAAAGTGATCAAGAATTTCTCACACACAAAGAACCTGAACGAAGCTGTGAAGATGTTGAATAAAGTCAAACTAGTCTGAAAGTTTTTTTTTTTTTTAAATTTCCCCAGTGCAACTCTTAAATCTGCGTGATTAGATCCGCTCCTGCTTTCGTTGGGAGCAATATTTCCTTCCAAAAAGAAAAGCGGAAGCGAAACAGGAGGAGGAGAGGGAATCAAATATCACAGCGGAGTGATCGCTCAGAGCAGAACAAGCCTCCGCCGCACCTTCTCAGTGACACATTACACACATCAAATATTTCTCCTGGTCTAAAAATACTGACTGTCGTACATGCTGCCATAATTCATCTGCTTTGCCCATTTATTTATTTATTTATTTTTGTGTCTGTTTGTTTCTCCTTAAGGGCTTTTGATTATACGAGTTCATCTTCTTTCCCCGCCTTTTAATATTTAATGTGGAAAACAAATAGCCTTTTCCATTTCCGAGCCGTTTGGACGTCCAAACCGCTTCTCTATTTAATCAAGCCCAGAGATTTGTGAAGCTCCTTATCAAGTCTGAAAACAAAGTTTCTCCCCTCAATTGCTTGGATTCTGCTTTTTTTCCGGCCTTAAATGAGCTAAAAAATAAAATTCCGAACCCCCTCCGCCATCTATCAAACGCACAGCCATTTCTCGAAAGTGCCAACACTTCTTCCCTCCTCTCCAACCCCACCCCGGTTTTGACGAATGATTCAGATCCGTTGAACTGGTAGTGCAAAAAAAAACAAAAAAAAAAAAACACAACACACAAATCTCTTCATTTATCATCGACTGCACCGTCTCCTCGTTCATGTCGGAAGGCGAAGCTCGCCGTTTTCAAGGAATATTTCCCCGATTCTGAGCCGAGGCTTCGGTTCTCGAATGGAAACCGGAGAGTTTTGGGAGTTTGCAGCGTGCGGACTTTATGCTGCTCGTTGTTTCTTCAGCCCCAGGCCGTTATAAGTTCTTTTCGTGCCGTTTTATTGATCATTTCTGCCTTTATTAGTCGCGTTCCCTTCTCCAGCAGAGCTTGCCGGTTTCGGGCTCGGAAGTTACCCAAACTATTTTTCCGCCCTCTCCGTTCT